CCCCCCCCACACACACACACACACCTACCTACCTCACTCATTTGGGAGATATGACATTGCACATTCAGATATGAAAAGTTCCACACACATTTGTATCTCTCCACCTGTCCCCTTGTTCTCCCACGAGCTTGCAAGCACTTTGAAGATTCTTTATGCATTCTTAAAACTCTCCCAGTGCACAAATGTAAAGCATGCTCTTCCTTGGGTTTGAAAAGGAAATTTCAGTTCATTAAACATAAATTGTATCTATGCTACAGAGCTAGACTACATTTGACTCCAAGTAACTCAAATCACTTCATCTACATTTTCCTTATTCCTATTTTATTATTTATTTATTAGTACCCAGTAAGTACCCTGCATAATTCTCAGTGTAGGGGGAGAAAAGCAATGAGCAAGATTGAAAATAATCCCTGCCCTAATGGCACTTACACTTTATTTAAGAACAAGTCGATGTTGTCATTCCTACTTTTTAGCTAAGGAGAATGAAGTCTTCTATTACATAGGAAAGGAAGTTATAAGCAAATCAAATAGCTGAACTGTTGCCCCTCAACTCATTCGAATGGTCAAAGTGAAAACTGGCTGGTTAAGTGGACTCTGAGAACACGGGACGTGGAGGCGTGCACACGTACCTTCCACTTTGCAGAGAGGACAAGCTGGCAGGTGAGTGAGTGTGTTCGAAAGTCTAGGATGCTTTTGCATTTCTTGGGTCATGAGGAACTGATGAAATCTCAGCCTGTAAATAAACAGGCTATGACTCATTACCAGCATTTGTGCCGAAGGAATCTTTGTTTCTGAGTTAGAGCAGTTTGTAAAATGCATGAACCTAAAGCTTGCTCTTCCTTGGGTTTGAAGAGGATATTTCAGTTTGTTAGAAATAACTTCCATCTGTGCTACAGGAGAACAGGAGAATTGTTCAGAATGGAACAAAGAAACTAGTTGCATGTGACTTGCAATTCTTCCTTATTTTATTTTAATGAGTTTTTTTGTTTATGGATAGGTGCATTTTTGTATTGTCCAGAGAGATGCTAAGATTCATATGTTCTTATGACATAAGGACCATGCTAGGTGGACAACCTTTTTCATCTCATGGTGAACATAAACTAATTACTAAAATTCTGCAACACACCAAAAAATATATCTATTTTTGCTTATCTGACAAAAAATAGTTATAATTTTTATTCATTCACACCATATGGCTATTGTTGTGTTGACTATTGTCTTTTTTTTTTTCTCTTTTTTTGACAATCTAAGGGAAAAGAAGTCAATACTCCTGTCTAAATAGTTAGGTATTGCATGTTTTAAAAATTATTGTGGCACACGGATTGAAAACTGCTAGATCTGTAATCAAATCGGTGCTGTTCTTTTTACTTACATGATCTACGTATCCTCTTTGAGCCTCACTTTCTTCATATATAAAATATGAAAAATAGTGTGTCATTGTAAAGACTAAAGGAGATAAAGTTAATATTGTATTACTAAATATACAATTAAATTCCTTGGGGTGACATTGGTTAATAAAATTATATAGGTTTCAAGTGTACAATTCTATAATACATCATCTGTATACTGCGTTGTGTTTTTACCACCCAAAGCCAAATCTCCTTCTGTCACCATTGATTTGATTCCCTTTACCCTTGGCTACACCCCCATTCCCCCTTCCTCCGGCGATGACCATTCTACTGTCTGTGTCTATATGAGATTTTCTTTGTTTGATTTTTTTTGTCTTGTTTGTTCATTTGTTGCTTTCAATTTTATATCTCACATGTAAATGAAATCATATGGTTCTTGACTTTTTCCATCTGGTTTATTTTGCGTAGCACGATATTCTCAAGTTCTACCCATGCTGTCACAAATGTCAGTATTGCATTTTTTCTTATAGCTGAGTAGTAGTCCATCTTCTTTATCCAATCATCTTTGAAGGATACTTCAGTTGTTTTCATGTCTTGGCCACCATGAATAACGCTGCAATGAACAAAGAGGTGCATATATCTTTGCAGAAAATGTTTTCAAATTATTTGGGTAGATACCCAGAAGAGGAGTTGCTGAGTCATATGGTAACTCTATTCTAAATTTTTTGAGGAACCTTCATACTGTTTTCCATTGTGGCTGTACCAATTTACATTCCCACCAGCAGTGAATGAGGGTTATTTTTTTTTTCCACAACTTCTCCAACACTTGTCTTGGAGACAGGTGTGAGGTGGTATCTCATTGTAGTTTTGATTTGCATTTCCCTAATAGCTAGTGAAGTTGAGCATCTTTTTATACATCTGTTGGCCATTTGTAAGTCTTCTTGGGAGAAGTGTCAGTTTAGGTCCTCTGCCCATTTTTGTTTTTAATACATTAGAAAAATTTCTTTTCTTTATTGATTTTAGAGAGAGAGGAAAGGAGAAGAGAGAGAGATAGAAACATTGATGAGAGAAAACATTGATTGGCCGCCTCCTTCATGCCCCCCACTGGGGATTTGGCCCACAACCTGGGCAGGTGCCCTGACTGGGAATCGAACCAGCAACCTCTTGGTGTATGGGTCGATGCTCAACCACTGAGCCACACCAGCTGGGCATCTCTGCTCATTTCTTAAATTGGATTGTTTGTTTTTTTGTTGTTATGTTGTATGAGTTCTTTATATGTTTTGGTTTTTAATGCCTTGTGCCAGGTGTTGTTTGAAAATATCTTCTCCCATTTTGTTGGTTACCTTTTGTCTTGTTGACAGATCTTTGTTTGTTTTTGTTTCATTTTGTTTTGTTTTGTTTGCTACACAGAAACTTTTTAGTTTTGACAAATGGTGCTGGGAAAATTGGAAAACCATATACAATAGAATGAAACTAGACTACTGTTTGTCACTATATATAAAAATTAATTCAAAATGAATCAAAAATCTGAAAATAAGATCTGAAACAATAAATTACATAGAAGAGAAAATAGGTACTAAATTTATGAATCTTGGTCTTGGAGAGAATTTTATGAATTTGGCCTTAAATGCAAGGGAAATAAAAGCAAAAATAAATGAATGGGACTATATCAAACTGTATATATATTTTGTCTACTTTTTTATTGGTTACTGGGAAAAGCATGTTATAAAATTTCCAACTATGATCATGGATCTGTGAAATTCTTTCTTTAATTATGTTGTTTTTGTTTCATGTATTTTGAAACTCTGCTGTTAGGCTCCTATACATTTAGGGTTCTTATGGCTTCTGAAGAATTTTTTTCATTTTCTTATTTCTCTCTTTATATCTGCTAATACTCTTCCCCTTGAGACCTATTTTGCATAATATTGTTATAGACCAAACTATAATTTTATGTTTATTATTTACATGTTATATCATTTTTCATCCTTTGCCCAGAACCTGTTTGGGGCTTATCACTGTTCAGGTTCCCAGCAAGCAGACTCTGAGATGGACGTGGTGTCAGGAGTTTATTTGGTTGTGCTGTCAGTAGTAATAATTTTTGAGAAGTTGAAGGAACCATGTTTGAACTGAGAGACATTGATCTTCAGTGCAATTTCAACAAAGACCTCAGCTGATCTTAAGGGGGGCTCATGTGACCCTGAGGGTAGGGGGAATAATCTTTATAGCCCTTCTTTGACTAGTCAGTAGTTGAAGGCTACTTCTCGAAAGGGTATGGTGAATCTTGGGTAAAGTGAATGTCTTTAGTTGAGGGCAAGTCCTGGAAAGGAATTCAGTTGGGAGCTGCCAGTTGCTCACACTCCCACAGCTATCAGAATGAATGCTTTAGTCTTAGAATGGGAGGTCTGGGCAATGCCCCATCGTATCACACTGTGCTTATGTTTGAAGTCCTTCTCGTATAGATCCTTAAAAGGTGGGTCTTGGTTACTTAATCCAATATGACAATCTCTGGCTTCTTGTTGGAATGTTCAGCCCATTGATATTTATTATAATCATTGATAAATTGTGTTTAAGTTTGCTATCTTGTTATGTTTTTTCTATTTTTCACTTATTTCCTTCCTTCCTTCCTTCCTTCCTTCCTTCCTTCCTTCCTTCCTTCCTTCCTTCCTTCCTTCCTTCCTTTCTTCCTTCCCTCCTTTGTTTCTTCCTTCCTTCTTTTCTTTTTTTCCCTTCTCTTTTCCTAGCTTCTTTGGGGTTAATCACATTTTTTTAAATGTTTCAATTATTCTATTGACATTTTGTTATATTTGTGTGTGTGTGTGTGTGTGTGTGTGTATTATCCTCATCCGAGAACATTTTTCCATTTTTGTTTAGATAGAGTGGGAGGGAGAGAGAGGAAAAGAGAGAGAGAGAGAGAGAGAGAGAGAGAGAAACATCAACGTGAAAGGGACACATCAAGTGGCTGCCTCCCGCACAACCCCAACCGGGGCTGGGGACAAACTGCAACCCAGGTACATGCCCTTAGTGGGAACCGAACCCGGGTCTCTCTGGACCGCGGGCCAACGCTCTAACAGCTGAGCCAAACCGGCCAGGGCTATTTATATGTTTTTTATTACTATTTAATTGTAGGTATTACTTGATGCATCCTAAACTTACTTCTTATTCAAATGTATTGTAACACCTCGTGCCAAATAAAAAAAAAAAAACATAGGAGAATATAAATTTTGTGCTGTTGTCATGTATATATTATTTCTATACCATGTTATAAATTACACAATACAATGTTAATTTTTTTTTGCTTCATTTGGCTGTCTTTCATGAATTAAGAAAAAAATAAAATAGAATTTTCTGTAGAGAGAAAATGTGGCCATTATATACATTTCTGCCAATCTTTATTCCTTTCTGTAGATCTGAGTTTTTATCTTGTTAAAAATAACAAGCAAATTATAGGGCTTAACTACTGTGGAAATTTTATTTATTTATTAATTTTTAATCAACTAGCACATTCACCAGGTTAACCAAAAAGTCTTAGCTATTGGTTTCAATTCTTATTATTGTGCGATCACATATATGTTCAGTAGAATATATATGTAGTTAATTAAGAAATAATTGCTGAAATTTCACCTTTTTCTTTCTTGCTTCCTGCTCTAACAGGTCTATGGAAATGCAGGACCTAGCGAGTCCTCACCCTCTTGTTGGAGGAGGTGATACTCCTGGGAGCTCCAAACTGGAGAAAGCTAATCTCAGCAGCACATCCGTCACCACAAATGGGACAGGAGGTAAGTGTACAACCGCTAAGACACCCAGAATCACATTTAAATGTTTGCTGCAATTTCATATGTTAGGGATCTGCTAATAAATAAATATCTCATTCAATGACACAATCAGCATTATAGACAAGTAATATATGGGTAATGGATCCTTTATTGTTCTCTTCATTTTCTTGAAATTTTTACTCCTCCTGTAAAACTAGAAACATTCGGAAAGAATAGACAACCCTGGGCAACATTTTGAAGGCCTTTAGTGAGGCTTCTTTTTTGCATTTGCTCTTATAAATATTTTTTTTAATGTAGAAAATGTGGCCAAAGGATTTGAACTGGTTCCTACGGGGAAAGAAAAAAAAAGAAGAAAATAAATTACATTATTTTTCTAGTTTTGTTTTGAATTCTAAAAGGAAGTCTATTCCAATTTCTTTCTTAAAATATGTTTTTCTTTTAAAAAAATGATTTTGGAAACAGAAAAAAAATATACCTCCTGCAATTTTCTTTACAAGGAGAATAATGCCTAATATGTATTCAAAGTAGGAATTGAATATTTTTTTCCAGATAACTTTCATTTGATTAGCTCATAATTATTCCACAGCATATGGAACAATAACAGTTATTTCAAATATTCTTCCGTATTGTTTTTATAAAATGCATTCAACTTTCCAGAAAATATTATTTTATTTTTGCATCAGAATATATAGACTACATATGTATACACATATATGTATGTAAGCTGTATTTTAAATTATTCACACTTATTTAAAACTTTGGTAGATCTAACTGTTTTATTCAATAAGTGATGTTATATGAACCTTTTTTAATGTATAAACTTCATATTTCTAGATATCAACATTTGCCACATCATATTTTCTTTTAAATTTTCAATAAATATTTATGAAATGGATACACCTCTTTTCATTTATTTTAGAATGACTGTGCAACCTAAGTTTTCTCTGTAAAGTTGTGTGCATTGCAGTTTGCCTGTGTTTAATGTTTTCCACCAATCCCTTTGTAGATTAACATTTTTCTTGTTTATAATGTTTATTTGTCTCTAAACAAGCATCTATAGTTTCAGCTAATTAATTACAGGATTGCAAATTTATAAGATTGTTTAGTGATGGTTTCTGGAGTAAAAGCATTAATATTTACACCTTAGCTTGGTCCAAATAATATTTTTTTTAAACCATGCATTCTGGAATCAGACCTTGGAGTTCACTAATCATGTGTATATATTTAACTGAACTAAAACAGACCTGATAAACTAAAATGTAAAAGTCATACCGTGTAGTTAAAATTTTGGCGAAAAGGTCAGAAACTAGTGCAAGCAATGAAGACTTCGTGTACACTGAGCAGGCATTCAGACAATGAACCCTTATACTGTTCCTGTTCTCAGGGGACAACATGACTGTTTTAAACACTGCAGACTGGTTGCTGAGTTGCAACACCCCCTCTTCTGCAACAAGTATGAGAGATGATGGTACACTGCATGTGTTTGGGTGTGTGGATTTGCCTTCTGGTTTGCTTTCTGTTGCTATTTCTATGTTTGCACCTTTTTCCTGTGTCCAGTACTTATAAAGAAAAAGGAAAAATGAACACGCCTTTTAGTTGTTTATTGATAATAGTTGGCTATATTTTTTATATCAACTAGTATTCTCATCTTAGATTCTTTATATCAGTAGTATTCTTAGATTTTTCATATTTTTCAAAAAATAGGTGCATCTGTTGTTTTTCTAACTACATATGAATTTATTAAGTGGCTAATTGAGCACAACAGCCATGTCAATCATAGCATTTGAAGTAGATTGTGCATACATACAAACTCAATTATCCTTATAACCTGTAAATTTTCAAAATTTACATTGACTTTTAACATGTCAAAATATACTTGCTATTTTAGAGACTTTGTAAAAATCCAATTAAAGTACTTAAAGTAACATTAACAAATAGTTAAAATCCTATCATTTAAAAAATTATCAGTAATAAAAGCTATATATTTAAAATTATAAATTAGGGGGGGAAAGGGAAGACATCTGTAATACTTTCAGCAACAAAGATACAAAATAAAAATAAAATTATAAATTAATAGTCTCCGAAAATGTTTTGAACTATAAAGTTATTACATTTATATACATAATATATATTAAAGTATAAACAAACTTTTCCTAAATCAAAAGTTTAAATGCCATCAAAATTTTAAAATAATACTTATGGTAGAATCACCCAATTTTGAGATTAAAAAGAAGAAATGTGCATTACGAGCAAGCAGTTAGACTAGGCACAGTTTTCCTGGACTTGCTATGTCTCAGATTATGTTAGAATATATGACCAGTGAACAGGGAACACTCCATTATGCCCATTACTTACATATTTATAGTTTTCATTTCAAATTTTTTTCAATTCCACATTTAAAATGTACTTTTCATACTTAAAATTATAATACCAGAATTTACTTTCTCTTAATTCGAATTCATGGGTGTTTTTCTATACAGAGTCAGGTAGCAAATATTTTAGGCTTTAAATGTCGTACTGCCTGTGTCTCCACTACTCAGTAATGCCATCGTAGCTCAAAAACAGTCATAGGCAGTACACAAATGATTTAGTGCGACTAGGTTCCAATTAAACTTTATTTACGGACCCTGAAATTTAAATTGTATATTATTTGCACATCACAGAATATTCTAAATTTGATCACTTTTAAAAACATTTAAGATTTTAAAAACATTTCTAGCTCACTGGCTGTTATTCTGTTCTAAAGTAGTATTAATATAACACAGGCAACTTTATAATAGTAAATATATGTTGAATATTTAGTCATTTATATCTAATCTTAATTGGGAACATTTTTCTGAGTGTTACGCATTGAATTTTTTCTGGTTCTTATTGTTAATGTGAAACGTCATGTGGCCATCTGGGAGGAACAGGGACTTGTATGCCAGGAGGACCACGGATATGAGTCTTGTCACTACACTTAAGAGCTGTGTCACCTTGGGCAAGTTACTGACCCTTTCTGAGCTTCAATTCTTTTCTATAAGAGAAGGTTAATAACACGTCCCTGGCAAAGCTTTTTGTCCTAAATTAGATAATATGTAAGTTGCTTGGTAATAAAGGCCAGAATAATTTCTTCTATAATTAATAATTTAGTAATAAGTAGGCAACAAATTCTTAAGGAAAATGAAAACATGCATTATGTTAAAATACTTTCCAATGTCTGGTCAGATAATAAACTCTTCTGCATTATATAAAATGGCCACAGAAGGCAAACTTTTAGTAAAAAAAATGTTAGGTACACTTTGATTATTAATAACATAGTCTTGGTGGCACACTGATATCAAATTTTTAATGAATTTTAATTACTTTTTAAGTCAGGTGTTTATAATACAAACTAAGCATTTGGTGCATAATCTCTCCCATTAACAGTAATCCATTTTATTTTTAAGCCTCGGTTTTGTTGTTGGTATTGGAATATTACATAAAATTATTATAACAAAAAAGGCAATAGCTAATATAGTGTCTTTTTAAGAACTTTTCATTAACTTTGAGATCTTCAAAAAGATCAGTTTAATTATGTAGTTTACACTAATATGAATGAGTTGGTAGTATTACCTTAATAACTTACCATACTACAGTGGTGCTGTTTAAATATATTACATTATGACTTTAATTTAAAATAGATTATCACCTTAATTCTAATTATTTAATTACATCTGCAGATTATATTGGTACTAGATTTTCCTTTCAAATGTTTGTCACTTGTAGAACTGTTAAAATATAGAATCATTAATAAAAATAAAATAAATGCAATCATACCTTAGCATATAGATCAGTGATGAGCACACTTTTTCTGTAAGGGTGAGATAGTAAATATTTTAGGCTTTGTAGGCTGAACGGTCTCTGTTGTAACTATTCACTTTGGCTATTTTTGCACAGAAGCAGCAGCCATAGACTCTATGCAAATGACTGAGCTTGGCTGTATTCAAATAAAACTTTATATATGAACTGACATGTGAATTTCATAGTCTTCACATCACAAAATATTATTATTCTTTTGATATTTTCAACTATTTAAAAATGTGTAAACATCGTTCTAAGCACATGGGTTATTCAAAAATAGGCCATGGGCAGACTTAGAACATGGGTTATAGTTTGCCAATCCTTGATAAAGATATGTATTTTTTTTTCTCTAGGTGAAGTATATGCACATTCATACATGCAAATGCATGCCAATATGAACACTACTTCCAGATATGGGAAAGATTCTAATTCACTTAATAATGTCAGATTTATGATTAGCTATGCTTTATACACAAAAATACTTAGATCTATTTGGAGTACTTAGGATAGGGTCTAAAAGTGAGTTTTTACTTTCTCAGTTAAAATATGGCAAGTTCCTATTATATGCCCAGCTCTGCTAGGAGATGGAAACCCACTGACCCATAGAACATGACACTGGCCATCAAGGAGCACAAGTCTTAACAGAGGAAAAGAGACAAGAAAATAATGGGTGCATAATGTGTCCAAGGTGGGTGAACAGTAGAGAGAGGGAATACTTGATTCTTCATGGAGATTAAGAAAATACTAAATACTTCAAGTGATTTAAATACTTCAAGTGAAAGTGATTGGGAGAACCAAAATCAGACATTCTAATTAGGTTTATGGCATTTTCTATAAAGAGGTGGGCAAAGGTAGGTGGACACTGCTACTACTACTAATAAACCTAATAAATAATATAATAAATAACAATACAAGAATAAACTCTGTGTTGCATGTACTCACAACTGCAAACCTGCTTTTGCCCACCCCTGTATTTAAAATCTGTATATCATGGAAGATAATCTTTCAGAATATTTACTATATCAATGATTTACTTACATGTGGTGAATTTGGAATTTGGTTGTGAATGTTACATGTACATGCAGTAGAGCCACTTGCTAGTGTGGCTCTGTACTTTTAACCTTTGCTTTTTAGAATGAGAGCTATAAATAGCTTCATCAATTTGTTTTACAAAACTAAATACTTTATTGGTATTTAGAAATGAATAATACTTAGAGCTCACAGGTTTTTGAGTGACTATATTGATTTAGACAAACATAATCATAGACTGTAGCAATTATTAAAACTGGCAGGCAATACTTACTGTTCCCCTGAAGTGGTATGAATTTTATCTTTCCTGATCCAACTACTGAAATTCTTTGTAGAACCTAAACTGTCAAAACTTGCTATGTTTAATTTTGTGGTCCAGAAGGAGTCTATTTGGAATTGCATATATATACTCTTTTAAGTGAACACCAGTTTAAATGCAGATTTCTGAAGATGAAATATAAAATGTAAATTACTTGGGTCACCTTTTCTTTCAAGGGTTCAGCCTGCTATTGCAACAAATGAATGTGAACATTGCTACGACAATAGAACAGACTTTCTCCAGAAAATATACACATTAATGTTGTACTTGAGTTCTAAAGATAAAGGGAAGGGGCACGATTAAATTCACTTTGCAAACATGTGTATGAGGATGCGGATAAAGGCTGAGATGTGAAGAGAGGAAATCAGTGATTTTAGGAGCCATAGCTGACACCTAACAATAATTACCTACAATCTCGATTCAGTCTGTAGATCATTTTTAAAGGTAAAAATCCAATCATATCTATATATTAAAATTAATTTGACCCTTTAAAAAAAACTATTTGGCTCTATAAAAAACATCCACATTGCAAGGGGATAACTAGTAGAGAGGGGGACCAGACAATTCAAGTATTTCTTGACAGTACAAGTAGTTTTTCTGTACAAAGTACTATATATTGTTTTTTTCATCTCACTTTTATGGAAATGAACCCTTATTTTGAGCATGTAGAAAACGACAGAACTCATTAATCTAGGATATTAAAATAAAATTGCTGCTTTTGAAATCAAAATAATAGTTTACGATTAGCATTAATAAATGTATTTTACAAAGAGTGTTCATAGATTTAGATAGATTTAAGTTGGAATTTAGCCACAGTTGGAATTTGGAATTTCTAAGACACTTTCTCTTGTCTTCATTTTGACGGCTTTGGACTGTCTTTCTGTCATAACTGTCAGGAATTCAATGTGGACACTGCATCACAGAGAGCCTTTATGCCCATCTCGATCACACTCTAGATCATCTTGATACAGACACGGATTATAGGAATTCTTAGTTAGTTACTGCTACCTGCAAAGGCAGTATGGTTTAGAGTTTGGATTCTGAAACTGGACCACCTGGTCTCAAGGTCTAGCGCTCACTAGCTCTGTGACTCTAAGAGAGTTATTTAACCTCTCTATGCCTCTTTGTTTCCTCATCTGCAAAATGACGATGACAGCATCACCCACCTCATATGATTTGTCATAAGGATTAAATGAGTTAATATTCATAAAGCACAGCAAGAGCACCTAGAATGTATTAAGTGCTTTTTTATGTGTATGCTGTTATTATCTGCTTTCAAACTTGCTACTTTTTGTAGTCTTAAAATATTTCATGAGGAAGAAATGGAAAACATACTTTATTAGCCTAGTCCCAGAGTTTGCAATTTTCATGGTTAACAAAGTGTGCCTAATTGCTCTGTCTAAAAAATAACCCATTCTTATCACTCTCTGAGCCACTGTGAAGAGTCACTTTCATGAACATAAGCTACTCATACCTAAAGACAGACTGTTATGATGGAGAGCATGGATTTAGCACTACAGACCTGCATTCAGGTGTTAGCTCTATCATCCCTGCACCTACATTGGGATCTTAGCTCTATCATCTCCTGCATTAGGATCTTAGCTCTGTCATCTGTGTTGGGATCTTAGCTCTATCATCTCCTGCATTTGGATCTTAGCTCTGTCATCTGCCTTCGGGTGTTAGCTTTATCATCTCCTGCTTTCAGATATAGTGGTTTTCATTGATCAAGATCATTTTAAGGAATAGCTAGATGTAAATAATCTAGCACATAGTAAGCTCTCAATAAATAAGTATTAGTAAATAATTTTGTAGTAGTAAATTTCATTCGTGATCAGCTATAAGCATAATGTGGACCTCCATACAAGATACTACTAAAAAGTAGTAGTGACAATTTATTATTTATCATTATATAAATAATTAAACACTACTTTTCAGATTATTGTTGCTATTGAAAGAAGTGGTCAACCTTAAATTTCCTTTTTGCTAGGAGAAGTTTTATTCCCTCTTTACAACCTCTTATAGTTCTCTGAATCTTCCAGCAAATCTTCATGACATTATTGAATCATGGATATTAAATTAACCTCAGAGTTCACTAAGGGAGGGTCCAGTCAATACTGTTTATGTGGAAAGAGAGCGTAATCATTACTGCATGTTTCTCCACGAATTAATTGCTTTTCTAACAGAGTAACCTTTCTGACTTGCTCGGTTGGTGGGTATCCTCTGACCCACTGTTCTTTCTGTCATATTTGCTCATGGTTGGCTAGTCTTCAGCTCTCTTCTTTAAAGTTTTCTGCTTGCTTCTGAGTTATTTAACTGTATCATTCCAGGAAACGTAAGAGGTGTTAAGTAGAAAATAATTTAGTTTATTCCCTTGCTACTGTGATATATGTAGCAGAGCTTTGCCCACAAGGGGAAAATATGGTGTGACAAAATCAGAGAGGCTGTTTCACTGCCCCGCCCCCACTCGCGTCTAATAATGACAGTAACGTGTGCCAGGCTGCATCATTGCCAAGTGAGGATTTTGCCAAAATATACCACCTCAAAGTAGAAATAACATATTAAAGAGTTTTCAAAAGATATATTTATTGCCGTAGCAACCATCTCTTATTCTATGCTTCTCTCTAGAATTCATTAAAAATCGTTATGCCATTAAAATAAAAAGCCTAACACCTTATGTATAGCTCTTTAGTCTTTTTTAAGAGCAGAAAATTTATTGCGTGCCTCATTTTTCACCCATCCCATGAATACGCCCATGGTTTGGGTATTTCAGCATGCCTCCATTGTACTCTTAGGCGATTCTTTTTAAACATCTTGAGAAGAATAAAGTATAAATTAGTACATCTCTTTGTTATGTTTTGGATTGAACATTCTGAAGACTGACTGATGGTTCCTTTTTTCTGCCTTTTGACTATAATATCAGAGTGTGCTTTAGGTGAGTTACAAATGCAAATATGTGTACTGCTGTTTCAACTTTTTAAGACTCACTGCCCTGAGAAGCCAGATTCGAGAGCACTGGCTGAGCCAGAGGATTTTCAGATTAAGTTCTCTACAAATGCATGTCCACTTAGAAGCTAAATTAACAAAAATCTCCTCCTCAACTTCTCAAGTTCTCTCTTGCATGCTCATGGTAGCTAGAGAAACCACTAGTAGAACAGTCAGCATCTTTGATATCAATTTAGAAATAAAACTCACATGTACTTATTCTTCTACGTAGTGTCTCTCCTTGCAGTCAAAACAGAGCCTTTGAACAGCAGTGAAACCACAACCACGACTGGAGATGGAGCGCTTGACACTTTTACTGGGTCAGGTAAAGCCTTAAGCTCGTGTGTTGCTACATACACATCGGGATACACGTAATTCTCCTAGTGAATAAGCAACGTATACCCCCAAGCTGTTAGAATGTGGATTTTTATAAATTTAGCAATACATTTACTCTTTCGAAAATTGATTGTCAAAAAACTATGCATTTTTGGAAATTATATTTGGAATCATTTTGCTAGATTTTCTTTTTTTACGTTGAGAGCAAAGCAATCCCCGTGACTTTCTTATTAGAAATAAGCAGGGCTGGCTTCCCTCATAATTATTTTATACACTGTTTAATTTAATCAATAGGTTGTAATAGTCGACTTTGCTCCTTCAACTTGCCCCTTCAAATGACATAAAAACTGCCTTTTCTCCAACATCCGAGATGTAAAACTATCCGTTTGATTCCTTCTAAATAACCTTGTTTCCTCTCTGGGTTTAAAAAAATCCCCCTGTGCAAGCAGCTGAGTGACAAGTATTAAAGGTTAATGGGCTGCGGGAGAGCACATGCTGGTTGCATTAGAACCCAGCCCGGAGAGCACGCTCCCATCCAGGGGCTCCCGAGAACAATGGCGAGTCTTTGCACGGCCGTCCTGCTCACATGCCAATACCTGATAACTCCCAGGTGGGCACGCAGGACACGCATTAAGTTGACTTAGTTAAATTTACAATATTTTGTTTGGTTTATTATCTGGTGAAAGGATTTTTTTTTTTTTCATTTTTAATGTGAGGAGAAAATTTTATAGCAGAAAAAAGGACATTAAACCTAGAAAAGTATTTGCAGTAATTAAATCTTGGTTCTGTTTTATTGTGCATTCATCCATGTTCTCATGTACAAGGGTTTTATGTGGATGAGCTTCATGTAAAGAGTTGAGGTCTATCCTTGAGGATAATGTCGTTATAGCATATATTTGATTTTTATAGATGCAGATGATCTCGTTTCATGAGTTCACACTGATTGGGAACATTTCTGATGCATTCACATAAATATCAGTACTCCAAACAGAAAGCAATAATAATTCATATACTCTACATAGAGATTCATATAGGCTAATCTATATTTTTTTCTAGCAATTTTCTTGCCTTCTAGGAGAGTAATAGGTACCAACTGACTAGAATTCTATATTACTCACCATAACCCTTGTAAACGTTCTACAAAGTAAGAGCATATGAACATATTTTTAAGAAAAGGAATGGAATTAATAAGTAATTTGCTGACATGCTTAAACAGCATATCACAAGTTAATTGAAAACTAAATGACAAAATTCTAGAATGTTAGCTCCAGAAGGAATTGTACAAATCTCTGATTCCTTTTATAGGCAAGAATACCAAGTCACTGAGAAACAAAATGTAATTAAGGACACACAAAGCTTCGCAGGTGGTCCCTGGTATAAATAGTCTAGAAGAGTATTCTGGGCAGTTGAGGAGTCCTTTCTGTAATACCCATTGGAAGATATAAAGATCGGAAAAGAATAGCTGTGAACAGTCATCCTATCTGAAATTCACTCATCTTTATTTTTTTCTTTTTACAAATAGTTTATTGGTTTTCTTTTAAGAATTGTCTAGGACTGTGCCTGTCCAATAAAGTAGCCACTAACTGTATATGGCTGTTTAAGTCTAAACTGATTAATATTTGGTACAAGTAAAAAAAAAAAAATATCTAGTAGCACTTGTCACATGTTGTGTTTAATAGCTGCATGTGCATTTTTTAGTGGCTTTCATATTGGATAACTCACATATAGGACATTTCCAACACTCCAACACCATAGACAAAGTTCTTTAGGACAGCAGTACTATTTAAAAATTGACATTTCTTATTGTGAGGTAGTTGTCCTCTGCACTGTAAGATGTTTAGCAGTATCCCTGTCATCTATACCGAGATGACAGTAGCACGTCCCACTTAGACAATCAAAATTGTCTTCAGACATTTTAAATGTCCCCTGGCAAACAAAATTCCTACTCATCCCCCAACCTCACCCCCTGCCTCCCACCCCGTTGACAGTCACTGATCTAAGGTGCCATGTTAATAAGAATAAAACATTAAAATTGCTTGACATCACACTCTGAGAATCTGATAATATACTTTAAAACTTTGTTTTAATTAATTTTCAGGAAAATTTTAAGACAAGCAGTTTTATAGGCTTATTTTATAGGCAAAAATGGTGGAGTATAATGAATTGAGTGCTTTGGGTAATGGCTCTAGTTAATTAATTGACAGTAGAGAATAAAAGGAAAGTCTCCATGGTTCTCCAGAAATCATACTGGAGATTAGGCTGCCTGTGTAGCAACTGTCTTTACTTTGTTCATCATCATCTCAACCCACTTTAGTTAAATTTTATTGTTCTTATCAATTCTGTGCAGATTCGTTAGAATAAAATGTAAACATTTTAGTTAAGAAGCATAAACTCTCCAAGTTTTATGTGAACCTCCTAGTTTTCTGAGCCAAATGTTTTATATTCTATTTAGAAAATGAACATATAGACATTAATATGAAATTTTAAAAGTTGAGCCTTTATACTGCTATAAGTGCATTATTCTACAATTTCTAGATTCATTCATTAGAGGGAGGAAGCATCCTGTATATCTAGATTTGTGTTCACATGTATGGATTTTTTCTAAATAATTTTACTCCTTGGCTTATTTAATAAAAGCTGTTACAGTGAATGTTTCTTTTCATTATTTGATGTCTCTTGGAAAAGCCTTGTGTTTTAAAACCTTGAAAATAATTGATCAGTATAGTCCAAGTCTTGAGTGTGCCAGAGTGAAGTTTTATAAATAAGAGACAAAAAAACGTGGAATTAAGCCTCATTCAACTATATTTTTGATAAACAGAATATTCGCTATTGTAAATTAATGAATCAGACTACATTTCCTGTGGAATAACACTATTGATATTATATAATGCACATTTAGTGCCCATAATGTAATAAAGAGAGTCTGTTCTCATTGAGTTGATTTAAAAGTTTTAAACATTCTTTAAGTTTTTAATAAATAAGTAGAAAATTAACGCTTCATAGGTCAATGTATTTTCAAATATGTATAACAAATTCACCTAAATAATGGTTGCTGAATATATTTAGAACATAACACCTTAGTCATAATTGATTTTCAAAATTTGATTCATAATATTCTTGAAAACATGCTTTCTGTACTGTTACTATGAAAACTATAATATACTTTCTTACTCAGGGTTCACAGGCGAAATAGCATTTTAAATGCATTAAATTCTACCTGTTTATGAAGCAGTAGATCACAAGGGTACTTAATAGCATTTTGATATAGAAAAATCTCATGTTTCATAAAATAGTTAGCAACTTAAACTTATTTGTCACTTTTACAATTCTAAAAGTTTAGCTCCAGAATTATTATGAACAACTTAGAAAGGGCATAGTACTTTGAAGTATAACTATGATTGATTAGACCAAACTAATTCCAGCGCTGCGTTGTGTACTACTTTAATCTTTTTGAAAAGTGAATGAACAGCAGATGGCCTAATAAAGACACTCTGTGTGCTTGCCCAGTATGGATTGGCTCTGAAGGGGCTGCCTCAACACGTTAGAGCCCATATATTTGCAATACATCCGTCTTAGTCAAGGCAGATGGTTTAAGGGAAGAGAAACTTCCAAACTTTTGGACGTATTCCAGGTTGGGGCTGCATGTTTGGGTGAAATATTAATAGGACCCGACTTTCACCTTTATGTTCCTCTCAGAAAAATTCCCTCTCTGATAGGTCAAGAATTTTTTGTAAATAAGATTGCCACTACATTTTGCAATTATGATTTTTTTTTAAGTATTGCATTATCACCCATGCTTTCTATGTACATTCCAATTATTACTAGACTACTTTGGCTCTGCATTTTTAATTACTCATCTGAGTGGTAAAACAAAGAAAATGGAAAATGATAGCATTTGATGATTTGAACATGAAGGTTGGAGCATCACAGTTTTCTTAATTTTCATTGTAATCTAGTAGAATAAATGTGGAGGAAGGGTAATGTATTGTGGTCATACTTGGAATTTAAAACAAAGTTTTCAAATTTTAAAAATTTATCTTTATATCATGAAAGATTAATCACCTATAATTAAAGATATTTATTCATACTACTGGTTTGAGAAAATGGAAGAAAGATGGAGGAAAATGATTTTTTTAAGAATTATTCCATGCTCTTAGAACAAACTTGAAGCAGTTCAGTTAGGATACAATGATCAGGCATCTGTTTCTGTTTAGAAAACAAATTCATTTTTTTTTAAATCAGTGAATTTTTAGAAATATCTATAACATGGTCATTTCTTTACATTGGTTTTGTATACTCTAGTGAAACATATTTATGAAGCAACCTTTTTGCACTTTTTGTGTCTTACAGTAATAACAAGTAGTGGCTACAGCCCCAGATCAGCACATCAGTACTCTCCACAGCTCTATCCTTCCAAGTAAGTGGTCAGTAGATTGTTTCAGATTTGTTAGAACGATTTTTCAGGATTATCTTTACTAATCTGCATTCACACATGTAATAGCTTTAAATTGGGATACATTTGTGTATATAAATATGTTATAGATAGACACTTGGATAGATTAGTTGGATAGATACATGTCCTGTCCAATTCTAGAAATACAGATACACTCACTTTAATCTGAGCAATTCCCTTAATTCTGGATATTTATATACCTTCAGGAAAACGTCAAGTTCAAAACACAACACACAGTTTTTTAATGAAAATTCTAAAATACTCACTAGTTGAAAGCAAATTTAAAAAGATTACATTTTATTCAAACATCACTTGGTAATTTGTTCCATCATTACAGTATTTTTATTAGATTTCAAGTCCTAATAAATGTAGTTTTAAACAATATGCTCTGTTGTTTTTATAACTAATGTAGTCAACTTCTTGAGGGCAGTGATAGAAATTTCAAGTTTAACTGTATTGGTTGTATATCTGAATTTGGTTGCAATTGGCCAGATGTGTCAAGATTATGGATCCCTGGCTCATACATGTTTAAACGTTATTTTCTGCAGCAGCTAGAGCCTGTCTTTACGGACAGGGGGGATTGGATATTCGTGTGGGAGCATTCTGTAAAGTGTGGCAGGGAGTGGCTTTCTATTTCTTTTCAGGAAGCTGCTTACCTTTTTTTTTTTAAGATTTTTCTGTTTTGGTAGAGAATTGTTGGTAGGGCTTTTCCTGACTTTTGTAGTCATTGCATATTAACTAACTGACCTGTGCTCCATTTTCCCCATTTACATATTAATTAAAATGTTATGTCTGATGTAAACAAGAATTATAGACCTGGAAGAGACTTTAGATACAACTTCTTAAACCGACTTTCTCATTTTACAGGGAGGTATAGCCTTAGGGAGTTTACAGTATTTGCCCAAGGTCACTAGACTGGTGTGCAGCAGAGCTCCAGCCCCTGACACTGAGACCCATGTCCTTTCCCATACTGTTAGAAGTTAGCTGTGGATAAAGAAGAGGATTGCTTCCTGGCTTTTATGAGGTGTCACTGAATCTAAGCTGTCTGAATTAATATGCAGTCTTTGTTGCCACAGTAATGCTATTTTTCTGATATTTAGGCCCTATCCACACATTCTTTCTACACCAGCAGCTCAAACAATGTCTGCCTATGCGGGCCAGACTCAGTATTCAGGAATGCAGCAGCCGGCGGTCTACACAGCCTACTCGCAGACAGGACAGCCCTACAGCCTGCCCACGTACGGTACGGCCCGTCTCTCTCTCTCCTCCTCTGGTTATCAGCCAGTAATCTTGCTGGCTAGTAGTTGTATGTTCTAAACTAAGATACAACCCAGAAGTAAGATCATTTAGTAATTAAATGCTTTGCACATACGTTTTCCAAATAGATTTGGGTGTGATGTTGCCAGGCATCAAGACAGAGAGTGGACTTCCACAGACTCAGTCTCCGTTACAGAGTGGGTGCCTCAGTTACAGCCCAGGGTTCTCCACCCCACAGCCGGGCCAGACACCTTATTCTTACCAGATGCCAGGTAAGTAGCCACAGAGAAGCCGTGTTATGTGAAAACGAATTCTCTGAATGAGACTTCAGACTAGAATTATACAGCCATGAGAACGGTTTTAAATGTTAAACCTCTATTCACATGATTCCATCAGAAAAGAAACAAGATATACCTCAAGATATAAGACCTATACCCAATGTAAATACTTTTTAAGTTGAGTAAATCTGGCAGGAAACCTGGTCCAAGCAACGCAACCCCCCTCTCCATCCTAGCAGTCACGTGGTTCACATCTACTTTGACCTCAAAGATTCATGACAAAAACCACTATCTTCGTGGCAGTATTCCTTAAGTAGATAATGCTGCTTTGATTCTTTTAAAAATCGAGTTAGCACTTTTCAAAGTCCCCTTTATCACTGAATGAGGATTTTTTGTTTATTCCTAAAATACCTCTCCCTAATTGATACTACCATTCTTAATAAGAAGATTTATATAACTTTTATCACCCCCAAATCCTTCATATATGATCATTTAATTTTTTCTCTTGTTTTTTTTACTCCAATTAAATTTTCTTTTTAATCATTGTGTAGTAGTTGCAGAAAAATTTTAGTGACATAATAAAAACATTGAAAGCTTGTTTCTGTCTGTCATTTTGACTATACTGTTAGAGTCGAAATTTGGAGCTATATTAACATATTTGAAGCACCTAATATTGGCATATTTGAGTCAGTTGACTAAAATGAAATAACTACTTAGACCTTTTTAGCTGAAATGGCAGGACTCTCTTTACCTGAATGTAGGTAGAAACATGTTTGCATACATGCTGCAGCCACAGTGAGCCACACAGCTTAGGTATGTGAGAGAGAACATAGAGACCTCTTTACTTATGTCCCCCAAATACTTTCACATTGGACATTCAGGTCCAGTCAATTTGTGTTCATGACATACCACTCAAAACCCACTGATAAAATAATCAGCTGCCTCCATAGTCTTTCATTTTACCCCTTAACAAGTGCATTCCAAAATAACATATTGAAAAAACAATAAGCTGCAAATTGGTAGTTTGTTTGTTTTTGCCCTAGTTTAAAAAAAATCATTGAATAAATTTCTGACCTAACAATAAATCGTAGAAGGCTCTCCAACCTTAGGTTACTGCAGTATGAATGCTATGTGTCTGAGCCCTAGTTCCTAGCTCTTTTTGTTCTAAGGGAAGGACAGAGGAAGGAAAAGACAGGGAGTTGCAAACATCAGTTAATTCTAGGTGTGTTCTTTGTTGATGTCTTAAGCTAACACCGTCCAGATGTCTAACTCGGATGGTCCTTGTATGCAAATGCAGTGACCACCGAAAGTTCAGTAGTCCAGAGGTTCCTGAAGTCTAGAGGTAGTCTCAGTCTGTATAGTATTTTATTCTGTGAATGCTCTGCACTTCTAGACACTTAACTCTTGAAGCTTAGCTGCAGTCCTTGTGAAGACTGTTCTAGATGTCACCTGTTGTCACAAGAGGGATAGCGTGAAGTACAGTTTCCATATATATCTCTTCAAATTTCACTGTCTTAACAACAAAATTAAAACTATATTTATCTCATTGAATTCTGCAAAGTGAAATATCTTTTATTATTTTACAGAAAACATTTTAAAATGCTTTTCTTTTTTTTTAATTTGCCTGTAGGTTCTAGTTTTGCACCATCGTCTACTATTTATGCAAATAATTCAGTTTCCAATTCAACGAATTTCAGCGGTTCGCAACAGGTATAGTCGTTTTTTCTATGTATGCTTTTTATATCTATTTCAAATTTTGGAAGAATAGTTTCAGGTTGCCATATAAGTGCATATTCTCCCAGAGTAAGGTCTTCTACATTTAAAATTAAGATAGCACTTTGAGGTAATAAGAATTAGCTATCCAGAACTTTGGGGATATGTATAATTTTATATATTTTAGGTTTCCTGTTCACTAAGGTTTCCCCTTTAAATATTTAAGCTGTGATTGTTTCAATCATTTAGCATGGACTTACAAAATGGGTTGCATACTTTCCTATAAACTTAAGTTAACATAATTTAATTTAAGACTAAGCAAAGTTATACTAAACTTATTTTTCTTGATAAGACAGTTTATGAACATTAATTGATTGAACTATAATCAATAATTGTATTATGCTGTCTTTTTTAGTCCCAAATGTCATTTGTTACTAAACAAAATTCCTTTTGGGCTACTGTTGGCTTTTACTTTTATTTTTTTAGTTTCTTAGGTACAGTGATAGCATAAGGGAAAGAATTACTCTGTTCTACTTGAAAGGATAAAAGATTCATAAAGGAAAATAAAGATTTATATCCTAAAACAGATCTAGTGCTACCTGAATATTTCAATACAGTGGCTCCAATATAAAATGTAGCCTGTATTTTGGACCATGGACTAAATACTAAGTTACTATTTTAGCAAATACTTATTCTGTATTAGGAACTGGTCGGTATTCTGGGAACATGAAGGTGGTGGTGGGGCGGATGGCACCTCATTCCTACCTCATGGAGCCTGCCGAGAGAAGCAGACAATAGACCAGTAAACAGATAGGTAAATATACAACTGGAAAGTGTGAGGAGAGAGAACAGGGTTCTACTAAGAAGATGATTAGGAATCTAATTTGAGTAGGGGAGATTCTGTGGAGAGTCTTTCTATGGAGCTGACATGTAGGCCAAGTCCCCTAAAGGCTGGGTGAAGAATGAGGACAGGGTGTTTCAGGCATAGAAAGCAGCATGTACCAGACCCCTGAGTTCTGAGAAACTTGCTGTGTCAGTGAACTCAAATCAGCCTGGAGTTCAGTTTGTACTTGAGGGTTGAGTGGGGAGACACATCTGGGAGATGGGCAAGACCTACCCATGTAGGGCCCTGTGGAGCATGGGAAGGAATTTCCATTCTATTCCAATCCCAGTGGGAAGCTACTAAAGGATTTTGAGCAGGAGAATAGCATCATGTAATCTGTTTTGAAAAAAACTACTCTGCCTTCAAGAACTTTGGAGCAGCCAAAAATGGAAACGAGGAGACAAATGAGAAAACATCCATTGGCTCCATCAGGAAGTGGAGGTGGCTTGGACCAGGGAGACAACAGTGGAAATTAAGAGAAGCAACAATATTTGAGATATGCTTGAGCACAAAAAGACATGATCTTCACTGAAAGCTAGTAGTCTGTACCTTTCCAATAAATGAATGTGTCTTCCTTTAAGGCCCAGGTGCCAGGCAGGCTCCCTGGCTTCAGGTGGAGCTCTGAAACTTGCCAGCTCTCTGACCTCAGCTAAATCACTGAAGTGCTGTGCCTTCGTCCCCGTCCATGTGACAATGTGCATGCAGAAGGTGCCCACAAAGTCGCCTCTGCCCACTGGACTCATTCTCAAAGCTGTGGATTGCAAAACAAATGGAGCCAAATACTAATCTTACAGTTTACATAGTGATTGCTTTCCTTTCAAGCTACCAGAGAGTAACTTCTCTTTCAAACACACACACATATCTCAATTACCGTTTCAGGATTATCCATCCTACACAGCCTTTGGCCAAAACCAGTATGCACAGTATTACTCAGCATCAACGTATGGAGCGTACATGACATCAAATAACACAGCCGACGGCACATCTTCCTCCACCTCCACCTATCAGCTGCAAGAATCCCTCCCAGGACTGACTAGCCAACCAGGTACAGATCTTCATCCAGGTGAAATACTTTCTTATGTCTTGCTCTGTCTAGTTATATGGAGAAAATGGACATTTCAAAAACAAAGCTAAAAGCTCCCAGACAATTATGTTGATGTTTAATCTGTGCTAGTACCCCTGTATAAGATGACCTTCAGACATTTCAGAAAATACTTTTTGTAGATGTGGTGCAGTTGGGGATTTTAATCATAAATGACAGTGTATATGTGATATATGTGACTATAAGTAGATTTATTGTCAGACTAATTATTTTGTGACTATCTTGATAACATAGAAAGGTTGTAGTATAACTGACAATATTTCCTTTATGCTTGAAAGACTGTAGGGTTCCTTCACCTCCAGTCAGTGAATGTTCCCTACCTTCCTAGGGTTTGTAGGATCGTTGCTGAGTAGTGTAAAATATTTGTCTAATCAGCACATATTTAAAATCAGTTGTATTTTTTGTTGTCTGAAGTTTATCTGTTTTCTTACTGGACTTGTATTTGCTGACACATATGTAACCCAGCTGAAGCATTTAAAGTCAAAAGCAAGTTTAATAAAGATTAATCATAATCCCAATCAAAATTCCAGAAGGACTTTCTGGAGAAATTATCAAGGTGATTCTAAAATTACAAGGAAAGGCAAAGGAACTAGAATAGCCTAAATAATTCTGCAAAATAAGGAAAAAGTTGGAGGGCTCACATTGCCTGATTTCAAGACTTAATATAAAATACAGTAATCAAGAATGTGTGGTATTGGCAAAAGGAGCAGTGTAATAGAACAGAGGGTCCAGAAATAACCTATATACATGTACTGGAAAATGGATTTTGGCAAAAGCACAAAGGCAATTGAAGAATAAATCATATTTTTTAAAATGGTGCTAAAACATTTGGACATGCATATGCCAATACAAACAAACAAAAAAACACACCATAATCTTGATTTGTAACTCATACATATACGATACATGTAAAAATTAAAACTGTTAAACTTTTAGAAAAAGACATGGGGGAAATCTTTGTGGCCTTGAATTATGTAAAGATTTTATAGATATGATGGATAATTTTCAGATCTTATCAGATTTTCTGTTGAATTTAAAGAAGAAATTATTCCTACTTGTAACGATATTATTTTCTCAGCCAATGTTATAACAATACACATCTGGATTGTTAAGGTATTCTGTGACTTCAGAACTTTAGTTAATGTTCTTTTTTTTTTTTTTTTTTATCCTCACCCAAGGACATTTTTCCGTTTTTTTTTTTTGTTCAGGTAGAGTGGGAGGGAGAGAGAGGAACAGAGATAGAGAGAGAAACATCGATGTGAAAGGAACACATCGAGTGGCTGCCACCCGCACAACTGACCAGGGCCAGGAACAAACTGCAACCGAGGTACATGCCCTTAGTGGGAACCGAACCCGGGCCTCTCAGGACCGCAGGCCAACGCTTTAACCGCTGAGCCAAACCGGCCAGGGCTAGTTAAGGTTCATGTAAGTTTGATGTTGCCCTTTCAGATCTGGCATGCATACACAAGTAAACAGGTTTATAACTATGAGATTTTTCTTTCTTATTGATGAAATCTGAAGTATATAGTTTAAGGGTATGGATGTTATTTCCAATTAACCAGCTCTGAATTTTGGAATTAAAGCAGAGACCTAACAATTAAATCCACAATGTTTTGTAAATCATTCACTGTTGACTTCTCCCATTTTCAAAATAGAAACATACTTTATATTATATAAGAGACAGCTGGTCGTTTTGATGTAGAGATTAAATCCTAATGAAATAAAGTTGGATCTAAATATCTAAAGCATGGAAGGTACAGTTATTCATTACTGTACTGATTAAATGATAATTATTCAATCATGTATAGTGTTGGTCCAAGAAAATGCCTGAGGCAGTTGGTAATGACTGATGATATTTGGAAATTGCAAATAGCATTCAGTTATTACTTTACCATATTAGATAGTTTGACAATCTATTTAAAAGAAACGTTACCATGCTGATTAAGAACAGATATTTTAGTGCATTATCTTTGTAAAGATCTCAATTTTCTTTCAACATAAAGATTATCTTAGCTGTATCATAATTTTGATTTGCATTCAGAAAGTGATGACTGATTAGAACATTAAAATTTGAGATATTTTTGTAGCTTCTCCTTTTTAGAATATTTTAAAGACCTTTAAATTTTGATATAATTAGTAATTTGTAACAACATTATTCTTTACTCTGAGACCTTGGCAAACAGTACAACACATTAGCTAATTAAACTTTGCAAGTGCTTCAGAGAAGTAAAGGATATAGTAAGATCACTTTGCTCTTTGAAAAGAAGCCAGTTTCTTAGGCAGAACTCAGTTGACTTTCCATAGCTTCATGGTATTTCACTTAAAGACAGGAAGGAAAGCAAAGTGCTAATTCATTTCAATGAAGGTAACAAGAGGATTTTGGCAGAAAGAACTGACCACATTTAACTTTGTCAATCTGCGTTTTCCCTACCTACAGCACGAGTGTGCCCTAGTGCAGACACCTGAGTGAAGCTTGGCAGAGGCACTGGAATTGATAGCTTTCTTCTTTTAAAAAAAAGATGTCAACAAATGTTTAATGACCATTTGAGCTCAAGTTCCTGGTTTTACCCTTTTATCAGAAAAAAAGGATAGCACCTTCCAAAGATATAGAGGTCAGAACAATTCTCCCTAGATGGCTGGCTGTAGAAGCCCCCATTACAACCTTGGCCTCCCTGGACGTGCTCTTTCACTACGAAGTTCTTTCGATGAATTTCTTGGCTCTCACTCCCACAAGTTGTGTACAGTCTGTTTAACTCCTGATTAGTAGAAACAGATATAGGTTTATAATCAGGAGCATCTGTTGCTGCTTAGGGGAGGAAGTATGGCCTAGCAGTTAAAGCAGCAGTTCTGGAATCATACCAAAATTCCACATACAAACTATTTCATCTTGGTAAGTTCAGTCCCACATGTCTCCAGTTTTCCCATTATTAAAAGAGAATAATGAAAGACCAAATTCACTGGGTCCAAGTGAAGTTTATGTCATATAGGTATAGACGTAGATGTAGATATAGATAACCAGTGTTTCACAATAAAGAGTGCTGACAAATCAATAAGAAAAAGATAATCCAAGTTTTTAAATAGGCAAAAGATGTAAACAGTTTTATTATAAAAAGAAGATACTAAATGGGAAATTAACATACAAAAAAGTGTTTCACATCATTACTTACCCAAAAAATGCTAATCAAATCTACAAGGAGATACCACCATACCCTCACAATGACTCACATAAAAGAGACCAGCAATATCAAGTACTGGCAAGGATGTCACAAAACTGGAATTCTCATTGCTAGTAGGAGAATAAATTAATACAGCCACTTTGGGGAAAAGTGGTCAGAATCCACCAAACATTAATGTATGCCTGTCCTCTGACCCAGCATTCCTACAGCTAGGTATACATACCTTAGAGGGATGGGAGCTTGTGTCCACAAAGACAAGAACAAGAATGTTTATAGCAGCTTTATTCATAATTGCCTAAAATTATGAATAATCCAAATGTCCATCAACAGAATAGATAAATAAAGCATAGATGTCTATCAACAGAATGGATAAATAAAGCATAGTATACATATAGAGTGAAATTCTAGCCACATTAAGGAAACAACAAACAACCGCTGCAAGCTACAGATACGAATCAGTCACACAGACATAATGAGCAATGAATAAAGCCAAACATATTTCAGTAAACATTTTTAAAAGGAAGACAATACATGAAAAATACTAAAGGTTTAATAATGTGGAGTTACTCTTCTTCGTTCTTTAAAAAGCTGTGCCTTTACCTCTGTCAAAACAGTTCTGTCTGTATGTTGTTCACATTCATAGAGCCCTTTTAAGACCTTCCAGCAACTTGGAAAGAGTCAGTGGTGTCAAGTCTTACTTTTATTGAAACCCAGACTCATCCTGTGGAGTCTTTTCCCTTCCTCCTCCTGCTCTTTTCACTCCCTTGCTGTTGGCTCAGTTCCTTGGAATAGCTGAGTTGTTCTTTATGGATCCAGTCAACTGTCAGCCACCCATAATCCCCAAACCCACTTGGGATTTTGCAAGTTTTTGTCCTTTCAGCTCTTGCACTGTTAATTGCAAGAACAAAGCTGCCTTTTGATAGTTAACACCTGAAAAACGATCTATAATGAATAGACATGTTGTATGGAATGTCATCCCCCCATAATTATTATAAACTCATTTAGTAATGAGGGTTAATTTAAATCATCAATTTATTTGAAAGGCAACATTTGATATGCAGGACATAGTAACCTTAGGAGAATTCTGTTAAAAAACAAAAACAAAAAAAACTAAAATAGAAAAAAAATTGCGATATATTTTAGAAGTTGGTGTGTGTTTAAATACTTGAAGCTTAATTAATGCCTATGCAAGTAAGCTGAAACATGATTTACTATAAGATAGGGCTATATTCATCGTCAAAACTAAAGAACTTTTATTATGCTGTCTACTCACACACAGTCTATAGCAGGGATCCGTGCACTGAACCCTGCTAGCAATGTTTTAAGAGCAAATAGTATTTGGAGCACAGACTGTTTGTTTTTTTGTTTTTGTTCTTTTATGCTACCCTGACATGCACAATGTTTCACAAAGAAAATGTTATAACCATTATAAACGATTACGAGTTAGCTATGTAAAATTTACTATTTATTTAGAACATCTCAGAAAAAATACTACCTTAAGTAAATGCTATCTGATTTGTTCAGATTTGATTATTTAGCTTGAAAAATGCCCAGCTGTCCTCAAACTTATTTTACTTTAATTTTATGTTAAAGCACAATAGTCATAACATCTTTATGTTTAAAAATTGCATAACCTACATTTAATATAGTTTGCGATCAGACTCTCATAGAAGTGTTTACTTTGTGTTTATGATTTAAATCCATTTAAATAGAAAGCAGACCTGTCTCAATAATTCAGAAGTCAAGCTGCCATTCCCCATGCTTTAAAATATGAAAAACAGAGATTCGGAGATTGAGTAAAATGCTTGCAGTCCTGGGATAAGTCTGACTTTTGTTACCTGTAAGGTTTTACTGTGCCTCATAGTTGCTTCCATTTGTTTATCTTAATACCCTCCCCACACACACACACACTACAGCATCCCACACACACACCACACACACACACCCCACACACAGATCTGCCACTGCTCAGTACTCCCTACTTCTTAAGATGCTTCACCATTAGCTCTAGACATGTCAGACTTTCAGGTATCTGTGGGACATGCAGAAATCAATCACATACAACGTCTAAAGGTTAGGATGTAGCCTTGTTGAGGATAAGATTTATCTATGGGTCACCACATAGAGGGTGATTAACCTATGAGAGCATTGGATCACCTGACCGTGTGACTTGAAGACAGTGGCCAAAGGATGAAACCCTTAAATATCAGCATATAAGGAAAGGGAGAAGAAAAAGGAATCCACGTCTCCTAGGCAGAGGAGGACTGGTGAGAGAGATTCTAGAACGAGGAGAGGGCAGGGTATCAGTTGCCAAGGGATGTTTCTGAGGAGGTGCTGTTTAAGAGGGTCAAACCCAGCATAGAGATCCAGGCATATAAGGTCTGAGTCTGCATTTGTCAATGAGGTAGTTCCTGGGGACTTTGCATAAGAGTAGTTTTAGTGTTTTGGTGAACTGAAGGTAGACTATGACAAATCAGATGTCAGGAAGTGGAGAGAGATGTGCTGTCCAGTACTGCTGTAGCTGCTGGCCACATGTGGCTGCTGAGCACATGGTATGTGGCTAATACAGACTGAGGTCCGCTGTAAGTGTAAACTGCACACGACTTTGAGTATGAAAATGATTATGTAAAACATGTCATTGATAATTTTATATTCATTACAGGTTGAAATGAATATTGTGTATAAATTAGGTCAATTAGCATATACAAATAAAGTTAATTTTACAATTTTTTTTTGCACATTTTTAATTAGGCTTCCAGAAAATTTTAAGTTATATATGTGGTTGCTTTTGTGGCTCGAATCATATTTCTGTTGGACAGCACTGGTATGCATTATTCTTTTAAGAAGTGTCATTTAACACAATAAGGTAGCAAGCAGATAGCTTCTATGTGGAACTGTAAGGTCAAAGGGAAGGACTTTTAAACATGCCTGTGACCCAGAAGGGGAAGAGGTTGGAGGACAGATGAGAGAGGGTTTGACTGATGGAGCAAGATTCCGTAAGAGCTGAGGTGGGGAGTCAAGTCCGCAGGTGGAGGCATGGGATTGATCCAGAAGACAGTTCACCCTCTGAACTCTGCTACAGGGAGGTGAGAACAGATCTGAATTTAGATAAATATAGAGGTGGGGGTAGGAACAGGAAGTTGAAGGCATATGGAGTATAAAAGGCATTCAGGTGTAATAGATCACAGAGATTGAAACTAGGAGGGATTTGTCTGACTTCCAGACAAATTTTTTATTCCATTTGGATTTGGGGTGTTTGGGAGTATAAATCTTTCTCTCTCTCTCTCTCTCTCTCTCTCTCTCTCTCTCTCTCTCGGAGATTTCTGTTGTATAAGAATTTGTTAAGATAATAAATAATGAAGACTCATACCTGATCTAAAAACAAAGTGCTATTCTTGATGTAAGTTATGTTATTTGTAGGAGAGTTTGATACTGTGCAGAGCCCCTCCACACCCATTAAAGATCTTGACGAGAGAACATGTAGGAGTTCTGGGTCAAAGTCCCGAGGAAGAGGCCGGAAAAACAATCCCTCCCCACCTCCCGACAGCGACCTGGAGGTATGCTGACTCATCCTCACCGAGTGTAATATGTTTTATTTTTATTGAATACATATTCTATACTTAGTTTCATAAAGTTTCAAACTTTAAATATTTATATACTACTTTGTAGTAGGCATTTCATAGCTGCAGAATGTGAGATTTCATCCATCATAATATTCAAATTAAAAAAGAAACAATTAAGAATGATAATGATTTGCAAATTCTGGGTCTGAAATAATTGCATCCTTTGATCCACATTGGTACAAACATAAATTTTAAAAATAATTGCTTATGGGTTAATTTTCTGAAAACCACTTTATTTAGTAGTGCTAAGGTAATGAAAGATTTATATGGGTCAATTAATTTTAAAAGGTAAAATTTATCTGTCTGGAAAGGAAACATTGTCTGAAAATAGGAAAAAGTATCATAGATTTCCCTGAAGTGGTATCAAGATTATATCCAACAACAAAGGAAGATGCTTTCTACTTGTAAAGAGATTTCTGCTTCTTTAGAATTTGATAATTCTTTGATATTTATCTTCTTCTTCAGCGTGTGTTTGTCTGGGACTTGGACGAAACCATCATTGTTTTTCACTCACTGCTCACAGGTTCTTACGCCCAGAAGTATGGCAAGGTAAGGAATCGAGAAAGTTTGCCCCAAGAACCCTGAATAGAATTTTGTTTTTGTCAAAAATCAAGAGCCATTTAAAAACACATTTAGCTGGCTGGGTGTCTGTGTTGGTTGAGCATCGTCCTGTGCACCAAAAGGTTGCTGGTTTGATTCCCGGTCAGGGCACATACCTGGGATGTGGGTTCAATCCCCAGTTGGATTTTAGAAAAAAGAAAAAGGTTGTGGTTCAGTCCCAGTCAGGACGAGCACAGGTGGTGGGGTTGGGGGTGGAAGCAACCCTTTGACGTTTCTCTCTCTCATGGATGCTTTCTCTCTCTCAAAAAAAAAGAAAATCAATAAAAAACATATTCTCAGGTTAGGATTAACAAAAAAAAATTATCAAAATATACATTTAAGTGTTTTTATTGCATTATTTTTTCCTCTTCATGACTTTTGAGTTTTCTACATTGAAACCAAGCATACTTACTTTGATATAATTTTTCTAGAAAAAAAATTTGTAAATTGAAATAGACTTTAAACATTATAAATTTATGTATTGTCCTCTAATAAGGGCACTTTAAGAAATTGCTTGAATTAATTTGTTGCCCCAGAAGTCACTATGGAATGCCATTTGGAATAAGGAAGCAATCTTTTGTCTGATAGCTCCTTTGGATTTATGAATAAATTATTTTTTGTAGCATACATTTAGAGACAGATGGTCATGACTCCTTCCTTTCTCTCTTGCCCTTGTTTTCGTAGTGAGCTAGCTTCTCATAGCCACGCTGTTACACACTTGTGTGAGTGCTGTTTCAAAGATCGATGCTACTGCAACAGGCTTTTCAACTGGAAACATAGTCGCTCAGGTCGTCGCTGTCTGTGCCTTTGACTCTGTAGGACTCATAATCTAACCTGAGCCAATTCAAAACATGGTGGCCCTCCTTCAGTCACCGGGTTCAAAGTTGTATCTCACTTTGGTTGTTTTACATATCACACCTACAGAGTGTCTTCCGATGTCTTCACAATGTCACATTATTTAATAGGGTCTCAAGTCACCTCAATATGTACTTTTTACCAAATGTGTTAACCTTTGCCTTCTAGACTAGTAATGATGAATCGCACTCACGTACTTTCTCTTAGATTGGATATTGCTCAACTGATACGAAAGGTAACAATTTTGTTTAATGACCATTTTAGAAGGAGTCTTAGTCTCTTCATCACAATCATCATTGTTTATAACAGTGAGCAAGATGCATGCAATACACAAGATGCTCCGCTGAGATAAGGAAAGAAAATATTAGTGTGTGTACACACACACATACACACACTTGTATCTTGCAGTTTCTCTTGTCGATTTCATAGTGCACATACTTTATAAATACATGCATGTGATCATAATTTAAATAATATGTACATAATTTATAAGTAAATTAACTATACATAAATTTGTTGCACATGCCAAATTCTGTTACTGATAGAGTATACTATATAAAAAGTTTCTAGACCATAATCTAAAGCATTTCTTTTGGAATAATTTTGATTTATGAAGAATACAGGGTAAATCCTGTTGAACCGTTTGCAATATTTTTGTGCAGCTAAGTTTCACATCAGGTAATTGTTTAAAATAAAGTCTAACTTGAAGACATGAATCCAAATAAGGTTCCCTTCAAAATAGTCACCATCAGCGCCCGTATCTAAACATCTGTGTCACTTCCATTATGCCAAATCAGTGGTGGAACTAATGTTTTTGCAATTATCTTTAGATTTTTAAAATATTTCCTGACTTCAAGCCTTCATTCTTTCATGGTAATTTTGATCTTTAGAAAATAGATCATTTGAACCCGAGGTGATGAATAAGGAGCATGGTCAAAATATCACTGTTTTTCTTTTTGTCAAAAATACCATAAAGTTGCTTCCATCCCAGAACTGAGCTTGGACTTCCATTTGGGATACAAAGGGGTGTCAAATAGGAGGCTGTACCATTCAAAAAAGAAAGAGGAGGAGGAGGAGGAGGAGCTGCTTTTCTTGAGTGTCTCAAAAACTGGTAACAGGATGTAACAAGGAGTGATGAGCATTCACCAAGTGCTGGAACCATGGATTGGAGGCCCCCTAACGGCACGTTAACACCATGCAGCTTACCATCTCTCCGGGCATAATGGTTAGAGCATTCTGGATTTGGAGGGAGAATGGATCTGAGTTCAAAATCTAGCGCCTCTTACTACACTTGTACCTTTGGGTAGTTCATTTAGTCTTTGTGAGACTTGGTTATCTTTTTTCTAATGTGAGGAGACTAATTAAGTTCTAATTTGATTAGGAGGGTTAAATGAGTTAGTGCATTAATGCTCAGAACATTGCCTACCATGTAATAAACATTCAGTAAATGTAACCTCTTTTACTTGCTTTCAAGGAAATCTGAATGTTGGGGAAACTGGATGTTTTCTAAAGATACTTGCGTGGATTTGTATCTGCTGTTTTATCTCATGCTGTAAGATACTCACTGAGCTCAATGTTTGAAGAAGTAGCGGGTGACTAGCGAGTGATTATAGTTCATGCAGAACAACGAGTGTGAACTCTGAAAGCCTCGAACATGTTTGCAGTGTGTTTCACAGCTGTACATTCTGCCTGTACCTCAACAGCCGAGTGAGCCCCACATCTCGGGTCCAGCACTGCTGGGTGAACGCACTCTTCCAGTGGACTGTTCCACAGCTGTCCCCTCAAACCTTTCTGCCCAAAACTCCTCCGCCATCACTAGACAATGGCAGCTGAAATAATTACTTCATCTCGCACATAACTATATTTTCTGCCTTTTCTTTACACGTTTACTCACATCTGGTTCCAGCCCTTCTCGCTTTCTCAAGGGAGGTGCTCCCGAAGTGACCTCTTTCACTCCTGAGTCGCAGTTTCCCTTTCTTTTGGATTATTCCTGTCACCACAGTCCAGGCCGAAACAGACCCTTCACCAGAAAGTCCCCTTGAGCCCGTCTTCCAGTTGCTGCCTTCTCTCTCTGCCCTTCCCTAGCTTTGCAGTCCCTGACTGCCTTCAAGTCCAAGGACTGGCGTCGTCATGCCAGGTTCATGGTTCGTCTTGCTGGGGCCTCTCGCCGGCATCTGACGCAGCTGGGCACTCTCTCTTCTTCTTCATACTTGCTTTGCTTCACTTCCCTGACCTGGGTGGCTCTGCCTCGCCCTGTCCCCCACACACTGGGCTCATTCTCACCTCTGCATGTGTTCCTGCCGCCACCGCTGCCTGAGCACAGCCGGTCCCCCCACCTTGTCCAGGTCTCTCCTCTGCCACCCCCTGAGCAAGGCCTTCCCGGTGCTTTCTGTAAGGGAGCCGTGCCCGTCCATCCCTACAGCCTTTGTATCTGCTGACGCTGGTTTCATCCCACCTGAAATGCTCTATGTTTGCTTGGTCTTTGTTTATGTTTCAGGCAGCTCATCCAGCAACAATATAAACCCTTAAGGGCAGGGGTTTTGCTTATTAGATTCTGTGCTCTCAGTCCAGAATCTGAATATTTCTTTTCTTTTCTTTTTTTTTTAATCCTCACCCGAGGACATTTTTCCATTTTTTGTTCAGATAGAGCGGGAGGGAGAGAGAGGAAGAGAGAGAGAGAGAAACATCGACGTGAAGGGACACATCGAGTGGCTGCCACCCGCATGACCAACCAGGGCCGGGGACAAACTGCAACCGAGGTACATGCCCTTAGCGGGAACTGAACCCGGTCTCTCTGTACCGCAGGCCAACGCTCTAACCGCTGAGCCAAACCGGCCAGGGCCAGAATCTGAATATTTCTAACACGTGGCAGACACTCAGTGAGTATGTGCTAAATGAATGGATGTTCCCGAAGCGGTTCTCCAGTCCCCCTGAGGACTCGTAAGCCCACTGCGATCACTGACAGACATTGCAACTGTTACATTTCCCTTCTGATTCATGCCTAAACTTCATCTCTTGTCACTGACTACAAGAGTTTATTTCCTAACAAACCCACTCATTATTTCTGCCTGGGTTCATGGAGCAAATGTGTCTTCCTTCTGTAATGAATTAGCACATCTCTGCCTTTGTCACAAGTCTACATGTGCTTCAGGTCCCAAAGGAGGAACTGTTCCAAGGACTTGAGTTCTTAAAAAAAAGAAAAAGAAAAAGAAATTCCCCGTTAAAACACACACACACGCACACACATTGCTTTCTCTCCTGAGATATTTTTATATTGTGTCCCTAGAGGAGGAATTTCAGCTGATGGCCCAGTACAGGGCAGAGGCCCATAGACAGACAGTCTGGCTCCAGTTTATGCTCTGTGCTAACATGGCTAATAGGCGTTAGTATCTAGATATAGAGAACGGCCGCACTTGAACCTGACTTGGTCATATGCTGGTAACATCCAACTTAGAATCACACATTTAAGGGCCAAGAGTTACTTGTTTCTTTCATCTTTCTTCTCTCTCCTTCTCTCTCTCTCTCTCTCTCTCTCCCTCCCTCAAACCAAATGCCTTGGGAGTGGTTTCAGTATTTTAATAGAGCAGTGCACAGAGCAAGTTGGCAGAGTTTCAGTTTGCCCCATATTAAACTCTGCTGTAGACACTTTGAACCTATTGCAACTGTTATATATGTAAAATATGCATTGGAGCTTCCTGTTGGTGCCTTTATTATTCCACTTTTTTCCTCTGTCCAAGTTTTCACTATCACTTTATTTCAAACCCTAAACTCAACACTCCCTACAGGTAAACTGGAAAAAAGAAAGGCAGTAATTCTTGATTCATAAGGTGACCATAATTCTGCAAACATCTCATGAAAATGAGCAAACATCTCCGTATAAAACTTGGGTTCAATCCAGAAGCATATTTAACTCTCAAATGCCTGATAAAACCTTGGGACTGCAGGCGCCAGCAGCTCTCACAGTAGTCTGGCGAGGCCGAGGGGCCCAGCACCGCAGAGACTTTGCTCAGACCAGCCCACCAACCCTGGTCATCTTTCTTGGGTTCTTGCATCTGCATGTCCTTTAGCTGGAAAAATGTGATACTGCAATTGGCTTACTTAGAGTCAACTACCCCAGTGACTTCGTAAGATGGGGGGAAGAGAAAGTAAAATTAGGTATTTGAAAGTAAGCCCTCTCTCAACATTCTCCTGGGAACTAGATCGCCACCTCTGACAGGCATGGTTTTCCTTGGCTTGTGGCACGACTATCCCTAGACGGTTCGTGCCCAGCCTTTGGCATGGCAGACGAAACACCTCCCTTTCAATAAGCCTTGCTCTTTGGAAACCTTAGTAAAATACAGCTGGTTCACACTGCAGCAAATCTCAAACCGAAATGTTCCCAGTTCATAAACGATATTTTGCCGAAGTGCTCACGAAGTCCTGCTGTCGCGGAGGGCACGCTGTGGCATCGCCATGGCTTAACAGACAAATGCACAGCCCCTTCCGCGGCTGGGTTACGTCCCACTGGAGTGCTCAGATGCAGTTTTCGTCACACCAGACACTGTGCTCACTGGTTAGAGAATTCGTGTCGGTTTTCTAAAGGTTATATTTATTTGCATGCTTATCAGATACACAAAATGCGTTTTTCATGGATTTTCTTATCACTGTTGGGGTAGTATAGAGAGTTGCATACTTCAGAAGCGTGGGATGGATGAAAGTAACAATCAAAGAGTGACAGTATGTTTTCTTCCATCCCTATAAATCTGGTCTGTGAACACAAAGAAAGTGAGGCTTGAATATAAGAAAATCAATAATTTTATTTAAAATTTAAAAAGAAAAGAACTGGCAAATTGTAGAATAAGAATTTAACCAACCCAGTCTAAAGAAGGAAAACCTTTTAATAAGACATTCTGAACCCCCATCTGAAATATATATCTTCAGGGCAGTAATCATCAGAAACATACGGAGTAATGTGGAGCTCAGTTTTATTGTCCTGCATCAGTGAACATTCCTCAAAAGCATAGAGCGTCACTAATGGAATTATATGTTTTCATGCTATAATTACATTTGATTTTTCCTGATATTTTTGTAGACATTTTGTTCATGGTCCCATGACTAGACAGAATATTTACAAGTTTTCTATGTCTTCAGCCTATGCAACCCTGTTTTTTTTATTATTATTATTTTTTAACAGAAAAAAGACAACTATATATTTTAAAGCTTTTATTAAACTTTAAGAGACCTTCTTTAAACAACAACAAAAACACCCTGGCTGGTTTGGCTCAGCGGTTAGAGCATTGGCCTGTGGTCCAGAGAGACCCGGATTCGGTTCCCGCTAAGGGCACGTACCTCGGTTGCAGTTTGTTCCCGGCCCTGGTTGGGTCTTGTGGGTGGCAGCCACTCGATGTGTTCCTCTCACGTCGATGTTTCTCTCTCTCTCTCCCTCCCTCCTGCTCTATCTGAACAAAAAATGGAAGAATGTCCTCGGGTGAGGATAAAAAAAAAAACAAGAACAACAAAAAGAAATGAGAAAAGATAAGACTTTCATACTTGAAGGAGACAGAGAAAAAAATCCCTCTGAATTCTGAAAGCCTTTGAGACAAAATGAACACTTCATATTCTTGTTCTTGATTTTGAATGACTATTGGTTGGATGAAATGGAATGGATGTGATCTTTGGATATGTTGCTCCAAATGATTCTGTCGCTGGAAGACAGAGGAACCTAGCAGAGTCAAAGTAGAGTCCTCCTTGCTGAAGGACATGCGACCAGGACACCATCAAGTATTGTGAACAATGAACACCTGTTTTTGAGAAGAAAGAATCTTGAGCTCTGAAATCCACAGAAGTCTCTGAGGAAGAGATGTTGTTAATTAGAAAATTATGTTGACATTTAACGTATTCTTACTGTCCTTTCTCTTCTCCCCTAGCAAGTCTTAGCTTTGCTCAGCACACCTCGGCGACCTTAACTTAGCACTAAATTACTGTTCACTAGGTTTCAGTCACTACAGAATATGAGGTGACACTCATTTCAGACATATTTACACTAAAGCATTATGGGAGGGAGCGTAGGAAGAAAACTGGTTGTTGCAGCATAGGCATAGAATGAGGAGGGCTTTCTACTTCCGAAGTGGAGTAAGTTTGGGGGTGTATATGAATACTGCTGGGCCTGGCCTGGGTTGCATTCTTATCATAAATTAATGTCAAGTTAGTATTACATTTTCCCAAGTTGAAATACATTTCTTGAAATGTCATTTATTGGGCCATTGAAAACACAAGTTTGGTATTCTCTCCTTAAATCCTTACAATCTGGCTCCTGGCCCAGCCACTCAACCCAGATCACCCTCTGAGGTCTTCCAAAGAGACTTCTCAGCCAAAACGGATAGCATCCTTCTAGACTTGTTAGCTTGATTCAAAGCCATATTCTCCCTGCTAACACCAGGCTCACTCTGGCCTCAAATTCTGAGGATTTGTTCCTTCTAGGTTTTCTATTTTCTGTATCTTCAGGGTCACACGTATAATTAGTTCTCTTTAGAGATCATTCCAACTTTGATCATTTTAAACACAACACTTGAACATGAATTACTTCCCTAGCCCAATCCCTAAACTCCCCTTACTTTTTAAAGTCTTATACCTACTGATGCCAAGCTTACAACTGTCGTCAGTCATGATGAAGTACCAGCTCTGGTCTTGATTCTCAAACTCATGCTGCTGTGTAATATCTTGGTTTCCGTAAACAAAGTTAAGTCACTTTGATTTCTTACTAATCCCCTTACTGTCATTCAACCTATAAGTGGATATATTTTCTACTTAGATTACATTTAGGTTTTAAAAATATATATTTTTATTGATTTTTTATAGAGAGAGGAAAGGAGAGAGAGAGAGAGATAGAACATCCGTGTGAAAAACAATATCCATCAGCTGCCTCCTGCACGCCTCTACTGGGGATCAAGCCTGCATCACCAGGGACCTCTCAGACCGTGGGATGATGCTCAATCCACTGAGCCATGCTGGCCAGACATGAAGATATAGCTTTATGTGAAACGTATCCTAGGTCATTTTTATGTATGTATAAATTCACAGATAGGTCTATATATTTACTATGTCTTAGATAATCTCTTTGGAAAGGCACCTTTTCAGATAGTTGGGAAATCTTTTGAATCTTAGGTAAAAATCCATAGTCTCCCCATCCCCACAACAACATGCACTTAAATATGTTTTTTCTTTATTGATTTTAGAGAGACAGGAGGTAAGAGGAAGAGGGAGAGGGAAACATTAATGAGAGAGAACATTGATTGGCCGCCTCCTGCGTGCCCTCCACTGGGGATCGGGCCCACAACCTGGGCATGTGCCCTGACTGGGAATCGAGCCGGCGGCCTCTTGGTGCAGGGGTCTGAGCCACACCAGCTGGACTAAAATACTTTTAATAATAACCGGAGTCACTGCAATTTTACCTCATTGTATGTGCATTTTCTTTCCAGGATCCCCCCATGGCTGTAACCCTTGGACTTCGAATGGAGGAAATGATCTTTAATCTTGCTGATACACATTTATTTTTTAATGATTTAGAGGTAAGAATTTAAAAAGGTAAGAATAGTTGTATCAACTATTAAAACATTTAGATGGCTTCTATAAAACCAAATAACCTGAAAGAAATTTAGCTTAAGAGAACAGTCAAGTTCCCCTCAAGGAGGAAAATTGTATATATATAAATATAAACAAGAGCTAAATTTAGTTCATGTATTAGACAGATGTACTGGCACAAAGTTAGAACAAAAATATCTCAGAAGGTCTGTTTTGCTGTCCCAGGCCTAGAACCCTACACACTGTCCTTTCAGTGTCTCAAATCCAACCCATGCACCTTTGGAACAGCACTAGCGTTTGCAGGATAGAAGCCAGGACACTCTCTAAGTTAATCACTGGACAGTAGTCACCAATACTCTTTATGGTGCTGGCATGGGTCATTAAATGTTGTAGATAACCGGACACCTAATTTTAGACAATGTTATCATTTCTCATTTCTTCCCCTTTCCGATAAAACTGCGCTGTAACTGTTTTTATGGTACATCTGACTGGTTTGATCGTATGTGTTTTCTTACTTATTTCCCAATTTATCTTTCCATTTCCAACCTCAAATGAAGAGAAAGTAAAACAACAGCAAAATGAAAGAACCCAAGAGAAAAATATCCTTAAGAGAGCTGAATAGGTACTCTAAGAAGGTATATAAGCTGGGTGCTAATGATCTGAGTCACTAGGCATTCAGACAGTAAAATTTGAAATAACTGAGTAGGTTGGACGCTGGGCAGGACTTCCCAGTCAAGCACCATTATGCTGAAAGAGATTTATTTTTCTTTTCTTAAGTGTCATATTTAAATTGATCTTTTATCTCTTGGTTTCACAGTGGAACAAAAGTGTCTATAATCCTGTGAATGAAGAGGGAGATTTTTATTACTGAATCCTCACCTTGTACTCAACATTTCGTATTGGACTTTCCATTAAGTAATTAACACCATTTTGAAATTAGTATGTTTGCCACATCATTTTAGTTGAGGTGAAACTGTAGGGTTTACAAGCATAAGAATCACGCGAAGGTAACTGCTAGCTAAGTAGAACTGGGATCTGAAACTCTGGAGTCTGTCTGGCTCCAGGGTGCATAGTTCTTCCCCCAGACCAGGCCAACATGCACAGAAATGTGTGAGAAAGAAAAGCCAAGTCAGTCAGTGTCTTCAATGAGGTTGTTTTTTTGTTTTGTTTTTTTTAATTGACAACATCTGGGATCCAGTTTTACTTACAGTTTAGACATAAGAGAAAAATTGTGTTGGTCAGTATATCCCGTAAATGTATGTGCTGGAAATCTGTGTAACAGCATTTTGTTGTTTTCTCTTCAGTGAGTCACTGTTTTTACTGGATAATAAAATTACTGTCTGTTTAAAGAGGTTTTATTATTTTTCTTTAATGAACATATGAAAGATTAGTGTTTCTAGGCAAATGTTCCAAGTTTATTATAAGAAATAATAATCACCTCTCTAAAACTTGATTTAAAGTAATCTTGCTACTGATCCCTGTCTGGTATACAGAATGATTTTATATATACATGATAATAGGAAACACATTTTAACCTTTTTGGAACTTGAATTTTTTTATAGAGAGTCATAACTTCTTAGGTTGATTTTTTTGTTGGTTAAAATGGATTAGCTTCATTCTAAAGAGAATTCTAAGATTATTAGTCCTTTCAAACCTGTAAAAGACAAAAAAAAGTTTTATGTAGTTTTATCCAAATTTTATAGTTTTAATTTCATTTTATTAATTATTTTTTACTAGAAATAAATGGAATAAATGACCCATTAGCTATTTTACTGGCACATTAGAAGACAGATGGAATAAATTTGCCACCCAACTTTCAGCAGAACAGGAAAGAAAGTGAAAGTAGCATATAATGAATTTGCAAATACCTTCAGCAAGCCCGGCATGAATATTTGCATATCAGAAACAGGTACTCAGCTATGGTGCTTAAAGCGTTTTGATTTTGGATTAGATACCATACACAATATATTTTTTAAATACCTGGCGGGATCTCTGGCAGAAATACTGAGAAAATACAGGTATTGACTTTCTGTCTATGAGTATAGCTTTTTAATTGTGTTTAGAATGTGACAAATATTTTATTTGACTCAAGCACTAGAACTTAGTATCCAGCAGTACAGTACTTGATAAAAATTTTAAAAAGATTGGGTCTCTTGCCTATAAATTGAATTGTCTTACACACACACGCATGCCACACCTATGCACGCACATTTAGATGAAGTGTCCAAGGAAACACAAAAGCGTATTACTGACTCAAGTGAGATAAATACCAAAACTAATGAAACCTAGACAAACGGTTTCCAGGTCGTTCAGCACAGCTACGTACACGTGCACTGTCCTCCCACATCTGATGTGGAAGCAGCCTGGCTTCCACTGGCCTTTATTTCAGTAACCCTCTTCCAAGCAAAGGTTGTCATGGGCTTCATAACTGATATGAAGCTATTTTTGTTTCTGACAAAGAGGAGAATTCCTCAAGAGAGTAACTCCATCATTAGCCTATTAGGGTCTTTTTTTCTCCTTCTGTATTTAATCTCTCAAGGTTTCTTTTCTTAACCTAAAAATCTAATTTGAGACTCAAATCCTTCACTGGATACTGCAACATATGTAGTAGCAGCTGCTTCCACAAAATTCCTTAGAAGATACAAATTTAAATCCCCCTAATAGACACTTAACTACATGCCCAACTGCAGAAAAGGCAAATGCTCACACTACTCCCCCTAAGAAGAGAATGCTCTGTTTAAATAAAATGTTATTTCAGTTAGAATAACTTCCAGAAAAGAAGGCACCAGGGAGTTCCTGGCTCACAGGAGCAAGAGAAGACTGCGGTGGATTGTACCTGATAAAGATCAGGGACAACTTTGCGGTCGCCTTCTAAAACAAAATTAAAGAATTTAAGATTAGTACCAGAATGATCCCAAATGTTTGAGTTCTCAGACTGAAATTTCTTAAAGCCAAAGCATTACCCTGTTTGTAGCATTTCAGGTTTGGGCCAAAACGATTTCTGCAAAGTTCCTCTGAGTGAAAACTAATTGAAGAACAATTATTTAGATTTTTCTAAAAATGTAAGTGATTGAAGTTCAGCTTTCTTTCACTGGACTGTAATTCTCGGGCAAGAGTCCAGAGTCAACAAGCATAGCTAACTAGGCATAAATTTAAAGAGAAGTTCCATTTGGAAAAATCTCAAACATAATTTCAAATATGGAGCTCATGGTCCAATAAGTTTGATATACTGATGTCCTCAAGAGTAAAAAAAAAAAAAAAAAAATGAGTTTTGGGGCAAAATGTGTATAAATTAACCTTGTGAGTTAATAATAGAAATGTCAGAGGAATTTCTCTAAAAATTAGGATGAGAGGATATTAAATACAGAAATAACTACTAATTGCCAGGGTAATTCATAAAAATTTCCTGCCGACTTTTTTTGGGGATATTATTAGTTTGTTGTAAAAGAGAGACATGGAAATTATTTACATGCTGAAAGATTTTAGAACTTAGGTGGAAATGAGCAGCTTCACATGATGCCTTTTCAATGGTGATTTAATTCAGTCTTCATACTTACCAAGAATATCACCATCTCTAAATAAGAAATAATCCTTGTCATCTAGAACTACTTGGCTGCCTCCATATTTCCAACGTTCCTGCTAACTGGTTAACTCTTCACTCTCCTTCAAAGCCCAACAGCTGCTACTGCAGCATGTAGTACCTTTGCATGAGATTTTTCTGGAAGCATAGTGCCTCCTTTGGTTAGAGGTGGGGTGGTGCCCCTTTCAGAGAATACTCGGTGAGAATGGGGAAGAACCTTCTAGGCACCTGCCTGCCGTGGCCCCTGCTCCTCAGTTCTCACCCCGTTCTCTCAGCCCCCCTTCACTCTTGGTATCATTGTCAGAATTCTTACAGTTCCTACCATCTAGAAACATATTTCTTATCACCATAGCTTTGTGTTTAAAAATCTGAATGACTGTGGCACTTCTGTCTAGAACTATAATTTGTCTCAACGCCTGCCCTTTATTCAACAAAGCATTGTTAAGTGATGACTCTGTGACAGTTGACCTGAAGTGGGGGTATAACCCCAACCCTAACCCTAACCCAAACACCCCCCCTCAGGGAGCTGCCAGTCAGATTAGCTTTACTAGGCCCTTTAACTGTGAATATAGGTAGATTTATTCAAAATTTACTAAACCCATAATTTATGTAAATCATGTGAACCTTTAAAATTAATGTACCTGTATTTTCAACTTAGGTACTAAAATTGTGTTGATTGGGCTAGTCAATAAGATTTCTTCTTTTTTTTTTAATCCTCACCTGAAGATATTTTTCTATTTATCTTCAGATAGAGTGGGAGGGAGGGAGAGGAAAAGAGAGAGAAGCATCGATGATGTGAGAGGGACACATCAAATGGTTGCCTCCCGCACAGCCCCAACCAGGACCAGGGACGAACAGCAACAGGAATCGAACCTGTGACTCTCTGGTCCGCAGGCCGACGCTCTAACTGCTGAGCCAAACCAGCCAGGGCATAGGTTTCTTTCTTTCTTTTTTTTTTTTTAAAAAAAAGCCAGTGTGGAAAGCTGGAGATGAAATAGTAAATATTTCACTACCAGATATTTTCAAGTCCCATAATGAATATAAATAGTAGCTGCAAAACCTTTTTTTTTTTAGTATGGCAACCTATTTTCAAAGTTTATAATTTTTTAACCGGTTTTGAATAGTAAGCACTATGTATACAGTCAGAATCTATGAGTATGACTGAAATAATCTGAGAAGGAAAGAAGCCCAGAAGGCTAAAACATTTATTCCCTGGTTAGTAAGTACTGAGTATTTGAATGCCCTAGGCAGATTGCACCCCAGGGTCACATACTGTCTCACTGGAACTTTGCAGATTATTTGAAGATAGAATAGTAAAGAAGAAGCCTAAAGAAGAACTGAGTTTTTATCCAGAAGCTACCATTTGCTCTGAGCACACTACCATTTAAACCAGGTCAATTGTGCGGTATATGTACCTCAAGTTTATTCTCCTCTTAGTTTGTAGCATATCAGATATTTCCCTTCTACTTTTAAGTTTTTTTGTTTTTGTTTTTTTTTAGTTTAAAGATTTTAAAACTTGAACAAAAGAAAAAAGAGAAAACACTGGCTTCTGTGGTTTCTACCTTTTTTTCCTGTGTCGAAAGACCAGGACTTTACAGGCACACCAGCGTGGTTCGTCCCGGAACCCCTGGTCCAGCACGTGCGGGAAGTCAGAGAAGGCTCAGAGCACCTTCATTATCACGCCCTCTGTTTCGCTCAACAAACAATGAGTGATAGTAACCGCAGAGGTGCTCAGACCCAACAATCTCCAGGTTAGCTTTGCTTCAGTCCTTAAGTGTGCGCAACAGAAACGGAGAAATGGCTGGAAGGGAGCACCAGTGATTATTACCAAGATTCAAAAGAGAATTTCTTATCAATAATTTTAACACTGAAATTATTTTTTAAATTGCTCACATGCCACGTGTTCTCGGACTCCTTTCTATGGCCCTCTCCTGGATTTAGATTTTACGAAACAGGAATGGTGCCCATGCTCAGCAGGAGACGGTGGCACGGATGGGCGAATGCTGCCATCTTCTGGCCGTGCCTGATCAAAATGGAAAGGTGGAGAAAACCCTCAAACAGGGTGAACAGCATCTTTTGAAAAACAAATAACTTTTCCAATGTTTTTAACAGGAGTGTGATCAAGTTCATATAGATGATGTTTCCTCTGATGATAATGGGCAGGACCTAAGGTAAGCCATGCCTTTTAGTATGCTATTTCCTACAGAAATTCAGCTATGGAGTTTTGCACATGTAATTATTTCTTTTATCTCTTTTTAATGTATTTTGGGTGTTGCAGTACCTACAGTTTTGCAACTGATGGCTTCCATGCAGCTGCAAGTAGTGCGAACCTTTGTTTGCCAACAGGTGTAAGAGGAGGGGTTGACTGGATGAGGAAGTTGGCTTTTCGTTACAGAAGAGTAAAAGAATTATACAACACCTACAAGAACAATGTGGGAGGTACGTGTAGCTTTTTCATTCTAAGAAAGGCACTCTAGATAGAGGTAAACTTTGAACTGTAGCTCCATGTTTCCTATTAGAGCTTGTCCTACTGTGAAATAAATGATCAAGAGTTCATGCTGACCGACATGGAACCAGAATTTTAAGTTTCTTAGAGCAGGGGGGAGATCTAACTGTAAAATAAAACGCGCAGCTCTGTCAAAGGCATGGGGAATTCATTGTTTCCACATATTTGGTCAAGATTGACGGGAGGACATTACCTTCTTTGGCTGGGATGCTACCATTGAAAACCAGGTAGTGGAACTGATTGAAGCCATGGGAAGACCTGGTTAATAAAGCAAGACCTCCAATCATGGAAACAAAGTTGTTAGCAATCATTCCCTTTCCAAAACACCATCAGAAATTAATATAAAACAAGTGCTTTTTGTCCTTTTGAAGACTTCAAGAAGTCTATTTTATTTTTTTTAAAACTGCATGTTATTTGACCATATAGCTTTCTCATATATAGCGTGAGCCATGATTATCATGGTTTTTTAAAAGTTCAGATACTTTGTAATATCTAAATCATTTTATACTTATCCACATATTACAGGTGATATCAAAACCCGTGACATCAAAACTAAGATCTGGAATGTGATCATAAACCTTGATGATCTATCTCTATTACTGGGATCAATTTTAGGTCAAGATCCTAAGACTAGTCATGAGGTCACATAAAAGTTTTCCCCCTGGGGTCTTTTGTTTGTTTTTCTTCTTAAAAAATGAATAAAAAATAAGGATAAATGAGGAGCAAAAAACAGAATTAAAATATAATGATACAGCTAAATATAAACGTGTGCATACTATACATATGTATATCCACATATATGTCATAGAATAAAATATAGTAAATAAAACGTTCATAGTATCTATATTGTACACACCCATACTCATCATGAGGCTGGGCTGTGTTCATTTGCCTTGTATCCCCAGTGCCTCGCTAGGCTTGAGATACATAACAGGTGCTCAATAGATACTCAGTAACTACTGGAAAAGAAAAAAAAAAAGTAGAATCATAGACAATAATGTTAGAATCAAAAGGAAGCTTACACACGGAAGATCTTCATTTCCAAATGAGAAACAGGCCCCTAGAGGCTCCGACTTATCCAGGGTTCTGGAGAAGCAGCTCAGGTTTCCCAGTTCATTCTCATGCTCTGAACAAGACACTTCGGTAAAATCAAATACATAGGTATTCCATTTAAAATCAATTGTGAGTGGCACATTTAACTTAAAAATATATATATCCTTTCAGAAAAGCTGAATTTTTATTACCCAGGTGTTATTATTTTCTTCTTGAAGAGTACTATTAAAATTATTCCAAAGTTAACAAAATTACTAATCAATAATCTTATATCTTAAAAAGTTTAAACAGTAATATGAGAGTCCATTTTCTGTGGCAAGTTAGCATCTCTATATTGGGATAAGGACAAATGAGACTTGCTAGAAACTATAAATTTTTATTAAAAAAAAAAAAATCATCCACCTGTATGTCTTCTCAGTATTCTGAAATACAATTAAAATACATTTTATTTTGTAATAGGTTTACATGATCTTGTTTTATCAAAAGAGGAAGGGCTTAAATAAAGATGTAGCAAGCATATTTCTTTTTTTTTTTATCATAACTTTAATATAGTTTTCAACTATCATCTGTAACTATGTCATATAGTACAGGATTTTCAACACAATTCTTAACTTCTTATAAAACAAAATATTTCTGATAGCTTTAGTACAAGTACATATTAGAAACATTCTGTAAACTACATATCATTATTACTGTTTCAAAGTCATGATGATTGTGATTATTAAGAAGCTAAACATTTTCAGGCCACCACAATATTTGAGGTGTGGTAGCCCTTCTATGAGGCTGGCAGACCCTTGTTCCCCGCCAGACCTGTGGGTCACGGCCTTGGAGTGGGACCCAGGCACGGGAGTGGTCAAGGCTCCTCGGGTGACCGGCATCCACTGCCAGGTTCTAGGTTCAGTGAGGGCAAAACTGTGACCCACATTGTCACTGTTACACCCCCAGTTTTCAGCCCAGTACCTGACATCCAGAAGTTGTTCAGTAAATATTTGCGGAGTGAGTGAATGGATAATCAATTCTGAAATGAAGGATCAGTTTTGATATAAATCAGTCTCTCTCTCCATTTCTGATATAGGCTGGAAACATTATCTTCATTAGCCAGAAGGGAGATCAAAGTAGGTATTCTTGCAAACGTTCACCCCTTGACTCTGCCTTGCTCTCCGGTGTTGCAGGACTCCTTGGCCCTGCCAAGAGAGATGCGTGGCTGCAGTTAAGGGCGGAGATTGAAGGTCTGACAGACTCCTGGCTGACAAATGCACTTAAGTCTTTATCAATTATTAGTACTAGGTAAGTGGTATTGTTGCAGTTCCTATATTTACTGTATTGAAGTTATAGTTCTAATAGCACAACATAAGTAAAAATTATTTACTTCTTAGGCTATTTTAGCATTTGAAGGGATCTAACAATTCACTGTGTCCAATGATTCTCTCTCTCTCTCTCTCTCTCTCTCTCTCTGTGTGTGTGTGTGTGTGTGTGTGTGTTCTGGGGTGAAGGATGGGGGTTGCTGCTTCCCAAAATAACCAGGAGATCCCTTCTCTCTACCCTTCTCTCCTCATATAATCCACTAATAATCCCCAGAGAAGATCATATGACTTCTAATTTAAAAAAAGATATAACTGTTGGTGACGAAGTACAGGAGATGATGGCAAAAAAAAAAATAATAATAATAATGTTTATACAAAGAGTAGATGTTTCTAAATCTTCATGTCATTATAGATAACATGCATGACTTAAATGCATCAAAAAGCAAAGAGAAAGCTCTTGAAAGAAATTGTAACCTTTGTGCTGTTTGAACTATATAGCGAAGTACTGACTTGTGTCGATAATAGAATTGAATAGACTTGTAACTGGTTGAACAGCATGTGCCATAAACGCTAGAATAAAATAATATAAATCTGGAAAGTCATAGCTAGTAAGGTGGGGATGAATCTTTGCACTATCCTATTCCTTAGTTTTATTTCTGAGTTAGATGAGTAGCACAATTTGTGAATAGCACAATTCAGGGGGAAAATGACATTTGGACTGATTGAGTCAGCACTCAGGAAAACTTCGGCAGGGTGGGAGTCCAGTATTCAGGACATGAAAGTAAACGGGTGTGTGACAGTTCCTGCGTGTGGCTTCCAGCCGTGGGCCATGACCAGCAGCTGCCCTGAACACAGAAAGTCTAAATGCGGAGGGAGGCACAGTGGCTTCCCGGGTCATGCTGGGGAAGCCAGGCCTGAGTACTTTGCTTGGTTCTGGGCACACATTCCACTGGGCTGTGACACAGTTGAAGCATCTTGTTTCCAACGGCCTGAGGGTTCGGGCTGTGGGAATCACATAAAAGGAACGGCTGGAGGGAGGAACCACCAAGTTTAGTCTGCAGTTTAGTCCATGTGTGGAACAATAATACCCATTCAACTATTTGAGATGTCAGGCTGAAAATAAATTTCGTGTCACTGTGTCTGTGAAGGAGAGAAGCAGGCCCGCCGAGTAGGGACCCTAGGAAGGGGGTTCTTGCTCCATGTGAGGAGGAACTGCCTAATAACCAGAGATGCTTTTATAATGAGACTTGCTGCATTGCAGTCTCGGTGACTAGTGACACAGAGATGTGAGGACTCCTGAGCCACTGGAACTGTGTGCATGCAGTGGGAGGGGCATTTCTCCGGGAAGGAGTTCATCAGCTGTTACTATTTCTAAAAAGAGGTCCTAGATAGTTAAAAACCAAAGGTTATTCTGTTATATAGACTCTATATGTGGTGTACATAATATAATTATATAGAGATTATTATTGAACACATGGCCTTAAAGAAACCACATGAGTGTGTGATTTTTAAGAAATCAGGTATAACAAGGGAAAGGAGAGTAAAATAAGTTACTACACATTGAAGATTTAAGTACCATGAAATTTGTTATCTTCATATATTACCCTATTGGTAATTTTCACAAAATATCTGGGCTATCAGAAAAACAAATGTTTGTACAAAACATTGCTGAGTTAGGTATCAGAGCCTTTAGTAAAGTAGGTACCCTAACTCTAAGTATTTTTCTATAACTATGATCAAAGGACATAATCAAATGTATAGGAACATTTCATATGTAAGGTAGCATTATTTGTAATATTAAGAAATAAAAAACCATCTAAGTTACCAAGTTTAGCTTCTAAAAAATGATGGTGCAGCCCTGGCTGGTTTGACTCAGCAGTTAGGGCGTCGGCCTGCGGCCCAGAAAGACCCCAGTTTGGTTCCCGCTAAGGGCATGTTTTCGGTTGGTTGTGGTTTGTCCCCGGCCCTGGTCGGGTCGTGTGGGTGGCATCTACTCGATGTGTACCTTTCACGTCGATGTTTCTCTCTCTCTCTCTCTCTCTCTCTCTCTCTCTCTCTCTCTCTCTCTCCCTTCCTCTCCCTCCCACTCTATCTGAACGAAAAAATGAAAAATTGTCCTTGGGTGAGGACTAAAAAAAAAAAAAATGATGGTGCAGCCACATGAGAGAGTAGTTTGCACACAATATGTTTTGTTGGGAGAGGGGGAATAATGGACAATATGGCAAATGAGTAGGCTCATGCTATAAACAAATGAAAAAAGTAGAATACAAAATTATATACATGGCATAGACGTAAACAGAAACTGACGGAAGTGCACAAAATGCAGAGAACAGTTACCATCTTTGGGTGGTGAAATAATTGATGCTTTTCATTTTTTTCTTTATATTTGTCTGTAGTTTACCAGTATATAATGCATTTTATAAATATATGCAATGTTTGTAAGTTAAAAAAGAAATGACGTAATTCTGAATATCCCAGGGTAAATGGGGCAGCTAGATTTCAAAACCACATCTCTCAGCCTAAGAAGTCTGTACTTTATTCTACCGTATTCTCATTCTGTAATGTTCATTTTCACATGACACTGAATAGCATCTTATTTTAACAGAATGTTATGTAGAACTTTAAATATCACAATACAGTGATGCGTTTGCATATTATTCTTAATTATTTGCCATTATTTGAGGAGTTTCTGTCTGATCACTTTCTAGGTCTTTAATTCCCTATAAGTAAAAATAAGGATTGAACCTATGATATTTATTTAACTTCTACCTCTAGAACTCTTTGTTTCTTTATCTTATATAAATTGATGACCTCATCACCTGTTTACAGAAGTCAGAATTTCTGGTATAAAATCAGATGTTTATGGAGATAATTTAGCAATGAAAATCTTTTAAAGGGCTATAATTACAAAGGTGTTATAATTGTGTTTGCATAAATTATAGGTTTTCCTTACAAATGATATGTCTAAAGAATATAAGCACAATTAAGTGCACTGAGGGCTAAGCATATGCATGCCCATGAAGAATTAGCACTTGACTTGCTCTTCCAAGTTGCCAGGGAGGCCAGGTTTCTGAAAATTAATCTAAAGAATTTTAGAGAATATTTTACAGCCCTCACAAATATGTATTAAAGACTCATGGTACAGAATATCTAATGGAGAAAGGTCCATAGTTATATACCTTCTGATTCCAGGTGTGGTTCTGGGCCCTCAAAGCAGGATGCCTCAGTTACCCCACAGTGAAGAGGGGAGGACCACAGCCCATTCTTCCTGGATCTCTGCCTCTCAGCAGTTCCCACCCTCTCGGTGTTCCCTTTGTCTCCCCCCGCACCAGTACTACCATGAAAGAAACAGCTGTCGATTGCAGAATGGGAGATTCTTCCGCTCAAAGGACAGGGCCTTTGTAGGGAATTAAAACTTCAGCCATTAAATGCAATTTGCCCTTTATTACTGCTGAAGAGGACATCCAGGGATTCGGACCCTTCTGTACTAAATAAGGATCCTCTCCATTTTTCCTTCCTCAGTATCCACCATCTGTGCTATTTCTTTTTTTAAACATGCTTTTGTTGATTTTTTAGAGAAAGAGGAAGAGAGAAAGAGAGAAATATCGATTGGTGGCCTCCTGCACGCCCCCTACTGGGGATAAAGCCCACAACCCAGGCATGTGCCCTGACCAGAAATCGAACCAGGACCTCTCCATCCATGGGATGATGTTCAATCCACTGAGCCACACCAGCCAGGCCTGTGCTCTTTCTTATACAAAATCCCCAAACTCCTGTTACCCACCCTATCATCCTCTTTCTGCCTATGTCCTCTACTTTCCCAGGGTCTGAACACACTGGACCCAGAGCCCTATCACCCCAAACAACACCTGCTCTGGACACTTTTAATTTAGAGTTAGTCCTGCCTCCCTCTGATGACCTTGCCGTGGTTGCTAAAGGCTGAGGTAGGCTTTCTTCTCGGAGGTTCCACAGGGACCCGAGGAGACATTTATCCCCAAACACATTGAATATTGTAGGTGTCTATTTACTTGTCTCTGTATCTATCTTGTGATCCAGAAGGGGAGAAAAACACCATACATCCATGACTTCTTTTTGCCCATTTTCTTCTATTTCCCCATTTGGGGATGTATTCCTAGCACCTGTCACGGTGCCTGCCACGTAGTAGGCGCTCCATAAATAACTGTTGAATGATAAAAGGTTAGATTATCAGGCACTGTTGAGAGACCATGGTGAGAGTTTAAAGTCTGTAGTCATAGAGACTATTAAGTATTAGAAAACAAATATGCGTATTTCCTCCCTGTCGTAGGAGTAACTGCGTAAATGTCTTGGTAACGACAACCCAACTGATCCCCGCACTTGCGAAGGTTCTACTCTATAGTTTAGGAGGTGCTTTCCCCATTGAGAATATTTACAGCGCAACTAAAATAGGTAAGAAAATTATTTCCAAATGTGTTCACTTCTGCATTTGGGGGACTTTGCTTAATGTGTGTCTCTGCATGATTCTCTGTTTCATCAATTTTGCTGTTAAAATATCGAGCAAATTTGGATAGCGCTCAAATAACGAAGTCCGGTCCAACTCATCATACAAATGCAAATTTTATAAAAACTATTGTCTGAACTCAGCAGCTGAATAGTTCTGACTCATTATATATTATATAGATAGATAAATATTTATATATATTTCATCATGGCACATGTTCTCTGAATAATAACAGTATCCCTAGCCATGGTATTTAATATTTTGCTTAGTATGGTTCCATAGTATTTTGTCCTTCATATCTAAATCTAACATAAAAATACTATTTTGGCAAGGGAGTGTCAGACAGATTGAACTAGTGTCCTTAATTCAAGAAAAAAAAAATAGTTTCAGGAATTAGAAAACACAATCAAAACATTCATAACACATGAATGGCTGGAAACTCACATTTCCAAAAATGTTCTGAAGCAATCAAAGGACAACGACCTTGCTTATTTGGCTAATCCCCATCTGTGGAGCCACCTTGGACTTCAAGTGCCTTTCAGAGACTAAGACTTCTAGTAAACTTTCAAAAACAAAATGCCATCTACTTCTGCACCCTGAAAGAGTTCAAAGAAAACAATTCCTGTACCCCTTTCTGTCAAGGAAATGCCTGGGGAAATAGACGGGTTGTGTAATGTGCCCTGAAGGTCAGCAAACCTAGGCACTGGCACCTTGACAAGAGAAGTTCAAAATCCTAAAATCCCTTCCCCAAAATAACCTGCCCTGGGCCTTGCAGAGTTTTGATCCTGATGCAGGCAAAAGGAGCCTCTAGCTGCAGCTGTTTAGGGAGCACAGTTTGAGAGCCAAGCTTTGACAAAGTCAATTTGACAGTGTCGTAAGCACTGCAGTTCACGGCCCTGCTGTCCACCCCGTTCATTTTTACATAAATGTGTGTATGTACGTATGTTAGCAGGATTAACATATAGAACTTAGCTTTAGGACACATCAAAGAATTTTTTACCAGGATAAACATTTCTTCTAATAAGGATAATATGTTTTCTTATTGGCCAAATTATTCCTAATATTTAATCTGAAAAATAAAGTTATTTTATATTTTCCTTTAAGCTAGTATTTTGTTTGGAACTACCAGATTAAGAAAAAAGTGCACCAATAGCCATGACTGCATGAATATTCTGAGTATGATATCCAGACATTAATGCCAATGTTATAATAATGAAGATTCCGTGTAGTGATTCCGTGGTGTTATTCCCATAGAGCAAGCAGAGGACATACTACTGTCCCCAGTGCTGTGGCCCACACAGCGCTCTTAGTACACGTAATCTGAGCAGACTAGCTCCCAGCCACTTGAAGAAAAAGTTATATATACATCCAGGAAAATCCACATCTCAGTGTTCCCTCTTTCCTTCTAAGCAAGTGAACCTTCAATAGTTCACAACAACATTTTCAGCTGCATTGTCTACGCTATTTTAAATAACCTGGAAAACGTTGATATGTAGAATGAAAAGATAAACATGAACACTTACAGTTGCTTATAAGGTTGTTCCAATATCCTTCTGGTGGAGTGAAAGATACTAACATTTTCTCTGGGTCAGATGCTGAACCCTGCAGACTTTTTTGAAGCATGGAACACACGTGTTTAATAACCTGTCCCAAGTCAAGACTTACATTATTCAAACATGTTTGTTGATTTTTATTAACCCAGAGATTGCAAGCTGGTTTAAGTGGTTGATATTCAAGAGAAATTAACTTAACACTTTATATGAATCTTTAGGTTAATGAATGCAATGGCTGGAAGAATAAGCAGTGCATTGTTTTTCAGGCAAGGAAAGCTGTTTTGAGCGTATAGTGTCCAGATTTGGCACTAACATAACTTATGTTGTGATTGGAGATGGCCGAGATGAGGAGCATGCCGCTAACCAGGTAACTTCACTCTGAACTTTATCTCATTTATCTTCCAGGAAAAGAAAGTTGCTTTGAACGAATAATGCAAAGGTTTGGCAGAAAAGTAGTATATGTTGTAATTGGGGATGGTGTAGAAGAAGAACAGGCAGCAAAAAAGGTAACCTGTCTCAAACAATGTTGGTGTGATACTCCTAATGCAAGCTTTTTTGTTTGCATTCCTGTAGTTTGGCCCAATGGCAGCTTGATAAATGATTGACATTTATAGATGCAAAGCAGTAAGAGCATGAGAAGGTCAATACTTACATTCAAATAAACCATTTGGAGTCTAGCATTTTTTGCCTGAAATTTGATAGGAAATACAGGAAAATTTAGTTATATTTATTTGAGTGTGTGTATGTGTGTGTGTGTGTGTGTTACACACTGATATAATGCTCTGTAAGAAAGATGGGGGGAAATAACTATTTTTAGGCACATGAGATTTCACAATATAAAGAAGTTTAACGAGCTTCACAGAAAATCATGGGATTCATTCTTACCCTTTTCCTCATCCGTCCTCTATGTCCTATGGTCCCTGTGAGTTGTAGTAGCAAGTATGCTCCCTGAAGACAAATGCTGAGGGCAGATTCAAACGCCGAAGGAGAAACCGTTGTGAGAAAATGTAATAAGCGCTATTGGAATGGGATGTGCTATTCAGATCCTTTCGTGCCAACTTGTTGCAGAGACATAGAGGCAACATGCCTCATATCGTCTAGAAGAGTGTTGTCTATTTTGGTGAGCCATTGGCACATGATTGAAGCCACACAGCTGGCTTTGAACATATTCAGATCTCCTAGGCCCCAGGTATTTAAATAAGCCTTTTCATCTGGCCTATATTTCTGAAGAAGAAATCAAGGCAGTTAAAAACCATTAAATGGTTGGTCCAAGATCAAAAGGGGAATGATATCAGGATTGGCCCAGACAGCAGACTGTCAGTCAACACAACAGAGATGTACTGCTTCCTTCTCTGAATGATAACAAATTATCAACTAGTCAGGAGAAAAGTGATATAATTTATGAAAGAAAGCAAAATGATGAGTTAGTATTTTGAAACGACAACACATCAACTTATATTGTGCATAGAAAGCACATTGTTCTTTTATCCTGAGGACATTTAAAATCATCATCTAATAAAGCCTTCACTGAACACTTACATGTGCTGAAGTGTTTACCTGACCTTTGTCCTCCCCACACCCAAAATCAACATAAACAGTTTCTTAGAAAAATTTAGAGCTTTCATAAAAAGAGAAAGGAAATGATTTGTGTGTGTAGTCAATTCAAATCAAATCAAATGGAGAAAGAGGGAGAGCTCCCACTGTAGGTGTGGTGGCGTGTTGACAGACATCAGCATGAAGAGAGCCTGTGCAGGCTGGGCTTCCCACAGAGCACCTGGGCCGTAATGGGCACTCAGGGACCCTAGACAGCACACTGGCCCTAGGGATATTCTGTATGATGAGGTCAAAGATGCAGCCTCAAGGACTATAACTTTCATTGCTGACTACTATTTGAAATCCTTCCCGTTGCACACAATGGAACTGTCTCCTGGAGTTTGTCAATGTCCTGAGTCCATGTTGTTTCGATTTACCTACTGACACCATAATAACACAAGCCAATGGCAGTGGATGCAGCCGCTACAGTGACCATTTCATATGTCTTGTAGCCTGTGTGAAATTCACATATATTTGAGTCAGGGCTAATAAAATTCACTCTTCCAAAGCAGAAATAGCATTTTCCTTTGAAACTTCCGGAGAAAAAGGCATGACTCCAAGAGGATGAGAACCTTGGTTAGAATGCTATTTCCAAATGGTTGTTTATGTAGGTACAGTTTTGGTGATGGTGAAGGCTTATACTTCTATTTTGAAACACAGGTGGTTGGTTTCTCTAGTATCCAGTAATGCATGCTTTTCTTTGAATGTAGCTGTAATCGCATGTGCAGAAATATTAAGTACTGTTTTGTTATTACAAATAGATCTGAGCTGAATGGAAAAAAATGTACTTCTAGGTGAATTTCTGTGTTGAATTGATCTAAAAATATGAGGATTTTTTCTTTTGTAAATTGAAGAATAAAGTTTGAAGTTTAGGAATAGGAAGGTGTAACTACACTCCCCTGTAGAAATATATAGTATAAACCGTATCTGTAATTTTGAATTTTCTGGAAGCCATGTTTTAAAAAAATAAGAACAAAGTCAATTTTAATAACATATTTTAACCCAATATATCTAAAATATTATTGTCTCAACTAACAAATATAAAAATTATTAATAAGATGTTTACTTTTTTTTTACATTCTAAGTCTTTGGAATTCAACATGTATTTTGAACTGGACAAGTCGCATTCCAGGTGCTCAGTAGCCACACGGGAATACAGGCTGTCATTTTAGACAGCAAAGTATTTTATAACAATAGTGATCATTTTAATGATTAATTTTATAATAAGATATATTCTCCATTTTTTGCACAAGTGAATTTCCATTATACATAAGAATATATTATATGTATGTGTGTATATGTATGTGTATATATATGTGTATATATATATATATATTCTATAAGATGACATCAACCAAAACTTATAAATAATACTTTGATTTTATTAACTGCTCTAGTGCAGTGATCCTTTTTTTATTATCATCCACATTGAGGTCATTTTATACATGTTTTTTCTGAGCACATGCCTCTGAAATTTTAATGCCACATATATACCAGATACTGGTATATTTTTGTAGGTCCACAAACCATTGTGATGTCTAAGAATTTTTACACCACAAGAACCCATTTTTGTCTCCTTGCATGTACCTCCCCGTGAGAATGATTGTTAGAGGACTTTCTCTCCGCCCTGCACCAGTGAAATAAATGGGTCAACTCTACTGACTTAAACTAGTTACCCCAGGAGGAGGGCAACTTAAACTAGTTACCCTCTTTCTGTGTGGTCAAGAGGGACTCACTCTTGACCACACAGAAAGACAAAAGACCTTGGACTTAGGAAGTCTGTCATGTTTACATTCCATTTGTAAATGAAGAGATGGAATTTTAGAATGAGATAGTGATTAAAACGTGCTTTCCACCAGCCACATAGGATTTTGATGCCCAAATTGCTTTTCCAGATGCTGCTATTGATGATACTTTCTAGAGTAAATATTAAACTACCTAAGAAATCTCCATATTTGCTTTTCCTATCATTCATATCCAGTTCAGATCTATTTCTCTATTATTTTGACGATGCTATATTGATGCTACCAAACCTTCAAATATGATCATTTCTCTCTTAAACTCTCTCCCTTGAATTTGGGTGGACTACACATCCTTGTGTGTACAGCTGCTTCACTGAGACAATAGTTATGATCTCTCTCCATTCCTTCCCCTTCTCTCCCATCCCCCCCTCTCTTAACCACACAGCACAACATGCCCTTTTGGAGGATATCAAGTCACTCAGACCTCTTGGCTCTACATCAAGCACTGGAATTAGAGTATTTGTAACTGTGTTCTCTAGCTGGAGATCCGTTGTTTTTTTTGTTTTTGTTTTTGTTTTTTTTTTATATTTCAAGTACACTGAATTTTTATGTGTGATTCAATGCCTCTGGCTTTACACATATAAATTGTCTTAAAGGATGAAATCGTATTTGGAATGAAAATTCCAGAATGAAGAATTCAGATTGCTGAACAGGATTAAACTTTAGTGCTGCAGAAAGAAAGCTCTATGGTCTTATATTTACAACACTTTAATGATCTAACAAACAAACAAACAAAAATCTGTGGAGGTTGCTGGTACACACCGAATGAGTCCTAACTGGAATTAACAGCTTTAGCAAAAAACTCTTACCCTGGCAAAGCACCAACTCGTGCTCCGTCTGACAAGGTGGTGTTCAACAACATTCCTCAAATCGGGACATCTGCTCAGCCCTGAGGTTTGAATCTGACTTTAGCCTACTTAGCCCAGAAAATCTGAATTGGAATGCACTCAGACTGTATAAGGACAATCCTATCTAGACCTGTAATTTGTGTAAATTATTGATGAAAATAATTTACTGTGACTTTATTAGCAGCTGACTTTGAAAGTGGATGCAATTTTTCTTTCATTTGTTGGGGAGGGAGGTGGGTGGGGAAATGGGAACCTAATATTGTCTCTTTTTTAAGTTTGGCAGACAGAATGTTCATACTGATGTGTTGTGCCTTAAAGACAAGACAGCATTTGTGTGTTACAATGTAACTTTGGTTAAAAATTTCTGTAGATACTGAAAAACAAAACCTTTGTGATCATTCTTAACATGACCAAATTTAAAATTCAAGCTATCAAAGCTTAATACTGCATCAGCAAGAAAACAATAATAATAAAAGAAAGCTTGTGTTTTATTTGGGTTCTTAATAATTCCAGTAATGTATGAGGCAACTATTTGTGCATCCAACCATAAGCAGACGGCTTGGGAAAGACTGTGGGACCTTTACTTAGAAAGTGAAATGTATGCTGAAGTCTTGAATACCCTTTCTACAGTTTTATTGGAGAAAACTAAGAGCCATATTCATGACGACTTACACTGTTTTGAGTTTGACTTTTTGATAAGTGTAAGTTGTGTAGAGGAAAATATACTTATAAAAATGATAAGCAAGTATCACCCAAACTTTCTTAGAATATGCCATGAACATGGCTTAAAATTCACATTGAATAAGCATGGCTTAACAGAAAGCTAAGTGTATTTATTCCACTGCAAAAATGAGATGTCATTAGTAGTAGAAGGTGAACACCCCAGATGGCTTCTAAGCATAAAAGTGAACCAATGAAATTTTTACCTAGAATGTCATCATCAAATTAATTAGTAAGTGAGCCAGATCTTGGCAGTATTACTAAAATTACAACAGTGAAATAGCACCTGGTTCTCTGTCTTTATGCATCAATCCAGTTCCTCTCCACTGCAGACCTGTGTATCTTAGTTTCTACCCACACTGTTACTGTAAAACGGACTGCATCCATTGCAAGGAGAACCTGTCATTGCTGTGTTTGCATGTTTTTTTTTTTCCTTGGTGTGTAGCCCATGTTAGGAACACGATACAGGTTCTCCTGTCATTTTGTGTGACATGATTGTGGAAATTTAAGACTTCAAGATCTAGGAGTGTCTTGATGATATCTATACCTGCAGTTCTGTGTCTGAAATGTCATACTGTGGAACTGGAGTCCAGCTCCCAGGCAGTGCCCCTAAGCAGAGGCTGGTTGGGATAGTTCACCCTCAGAGACTCCCATGGCTCCCATAAGGTCGGTGCTTTGCATCTTTGCATGCTGATCACAACAGTCACTGTGGAAATGTGATTTTATTTTCCAGGCTATAAACCTGTATTTCTTTACTAAATGCAAAGGCCACTTTTACGTTGGGCAGAAAGAGATTGTGATCCAATTTTACATAAGCTGGTGATTTCATCACACAAACCTTAAACTTATTCTTTAAATTTTGTAGCTGTCGGCTGCTCTGCCCTAAACACGGTTGCAGACAAATTAAGGTTGGAATGCTGTTAATAATAATAACAATAGTAATAATTCTTATCTTTCTGTTAGCCTTTAGCTTGAAAATAACAGTTTAAAAATTGAAGAGCTGCATTGATTATCAATAATTGTATTTTGTGCACTAAAACCTTAAATATTTATTACTGTGAATAAAACAAAATTATCTTTAGTGTATAGCCCGTTTCTTTAAATGACAAAGTGGTGGCATTACATCTGAATTTTTAATTCTTTTTTATATCAAACAAGCGAGACTTTTTATGCTGCTAAACCTGCAGGTGCAGAGAGGAACCCCCTTCACAGGGCACAGAGTAGGGCCACTGATTGCATCACCCAGTGCTATTTCTCACACCCACCTCCTCCTCTGATTCTGTGTTCAGAAGAGACTGCCGGAATCGAACCTGAGTGCTAGGTTGAAGGAGAAGCGCTCCTCTAGCACAACAGTGGAGCAGGCCAATGAGTCAGCATCAGAGCTTGTCAGGTGACCTTGAGCATGCTCAAACTAGACCCTTTCCCTGCCGCCTTGCTAACAGAAGACCCTCATCCTTTCGGATCTGAAAACAATTAACCAACCAACAAAAAACCAGCCCCTTGGGCAAGATCCACGTTCTATTTACCTATAGAATATTGTGCCTTATTGTAAACCAGTTTGACAAATATTCTTCAACTAACATGAGTTTTTGGCTATTTTATGTAAAAATGTGATTTATATGCCTAGAAAAGGTACCATCTTGTGTTGAACCTGAAATATCAAGATAGATGGCCCGGGTATAATATTACAGCAAACAAGATTATGTCACTATATCCCTGTGAAAGTTTGTAAGTCAAATTCAGAGGCAAAAAAATTAGAATCTTGCAGTTTGTGCACAACAAGTAGATAATAACTCTCTCAAAAAATCTTTTTTCCTTAGTCTCTGGTGAGCTAAGAAGCAAAATAGTGTCAACAGCATGTTCCAGTATGAATTCTTTTAAAGCATATTTGCTTATGACAAGCCTACATTCTCAGTGAATATGGCATTTAGTGTTTCTTTTAAAAATACTTACGCATCATGAGCCAAAGTTGCATTTTGACTCCTTACTATGGTAGCATTACGGAGATCTCACAGTCAAAGTCAAGGGTTTCTGTTATGTATTAGTAAAGTATAGATTATGGGGGCCTACATAATTTAAAGAAATGTAAATTAATATTAAAAGCTTGTAAAAATATGTACATCTTTACTATTTCTCAATAAATACCTTTGGAAATGTTTTCATTTTCTTCACTCTCCCATGTGGTAGAGTTTTTGTTGTGTGTATTTAGCTCAATTCTAAATAATGTGAAATTTGTATTCGGGTTTCTTGATGAGTTCTTTCTCTCCCTTTTGTTGTGCCTAAATTGCATAATTTGCAGTTAAGACAAGCTAGGATGTAACAGAATAAAATGTAGCTAATTAAGACTACAGTTGGGTTGTGTGCTGGGAAGATGTGAGTTGCATGGTTTTCCACATTCAGGTATAAAGCATAACGTAGTCCTAGTTTAGTAATGATAAAGGGATGCCTTTTAGAATATGTAAAGGAAGTTCCCTTGAGACCAATATGGACCTAGTATATAAGTAGCTTCTGAGAGTGATAAAAGAGTGTTTTTGTGAAACAGATTCAACAGCTCCTTTATTATCTTGTGTATAGTATTAGTTATTTGTGAATTGGTTGCACATGTAAACCAAAGGCAAATTTCAGACCAACCTCCTTCCAACTTTTAAAACAGTAACCTCTGAATTGAGTAGGTCCTTCTTTCTAAAAGTGCACATGCTCCTCAATACTTCTATCATTTCCCTGCTTTACTGTTAAATAATATTTAATCCTTAGATTTATAAGTATCCAGCATGACACATACTTTAACTTTTGTACTGGGTGACTTACCCACTAGGATGTATGCTCTGTGAAGGCAGGGATATTTGTTTTGTTTTGTTGACTTCTGTATAACCAATTTCTAAGAAAGTGTCTGGGATACAGTATGTACTCATAAAATATTTGTTCTATGAATGCATAGACCATAGAACACATACATAGGCGTGGTCTGGAATTAGAGGGATTTACAATGGCAGAGCTGGATCTAAAAAGGTAAGTGCAAGGAGAAAACATACAGGTAAGTTTGGATGGGACTGATGTCAATTTTTACAAGTTGGCTAGAGTGTTTGTGAGCCTAATAATTTACAAAAATAAAGAGCAAGGATGACTGTAAGTAGATGTGTATTTGGAAAGAAAGTTATACATGAGCTGAGAATGATCTGCTGGGAAAAAAATAAGTTTACAATGAATCAATGATTTCTGCCTCTGCTCCTCTTTTACTTTAAAAAAACATAGTATGCAACATCAGGAGGTATAGTTGATTTAAATTACTTAAAGCCACAAAATATCACAAAAATCAGATCTGTTTGTAAACTGTGGTTCATGATTCTGAGTCCCAGAAACAACAAGAAAGAAGGAAGAGAGGTGTATGATTTCCCTTAGCTAACGAAGCTAACCCATCCGTGCATGATCTGTGTTTTTTTTTTTGTTTATTTGTTTGTTTTTAATCAGTTACTAGGTGTAATGGTATAAAAGTACATATATTCTCATTCACAGGTCACTACTCAAAGCAGTCTCAGATCTGACTGGGCCAAAGTCGATTCTGGGGATGTACTGTGACCCACAAAGATGCTCCCTCAGAGCATCGAGGGGGAAATGTCCCAAGTTCTGGCTTTCACTGCCTTTCCCTCATCCAGAGAAACTTCCAGGACTGGGTCAGCACACAATTTGAAAAATGTCCAAACATAATATGCTAAGAAATTTCCAAAATAGCAGATAACTCTATCCAAGCCAGATGATTATTTTCCCTTTTTAATCTGGGCCTGTGGTGACACTTTCTCTGCGGCTAAAGGACACTGTCATTGCCCTTTGCAGTCATGGAATCTTAGATTTTGTGTGGGTGGCTGCTGTGAAGATGTCAGTCTAGCTCTCTGGTGAACCT